GGGTTTGTTGTGGGGGGGGAGGGGGGGTTTGAAGATATTATGCTCGGATGGGAATGGGGATTAGGTGTTTGTTTGTATAGATGGAGGGGGATGGTTGGATGGTTAGAAAGTATAAGTAAGTATTTGAGTAATATCATACTTCTTCAAAAATCATACGAACGTGCAGGACCTTAGTACTATAAACAAGATAGGGTAAGAGAAATGAGAAGACTTGAAACTTTGGATACGGAATTTGCTCATCGTTGAGACTTCGTTTGTGCTCGTAGTTATAGATATAAGTATAGTATTTAAGATATATAACGAGGTGTTTCCTTATGCTAGTCTAAGCGATTTTTCTTTGTTTCCTGGGGGGTAAGGGTGTTTATATAGCTAGCTAGCTAGTTACGCCTTTTATATTTTATGAGGCTAAGTAGAGAGTGTTTGTTTGGGTTTGTCTAGGGGTTGGGTGAGTTTAAATGGGTTTGAGGGTGAGTTTGAGGGAGAGAAAGGGTGTGGGGTTGAGTTTGTGGTTAGTACTAGTGGAAAGGAAAGGGAGGATGTGGAATCGGGATCTACTATATTAATTATATAGTAAGAAAGAATGTTTATTAAAATAAATACAGAGTTATTCAAAAGCGAAGTTATCTCAGGGGTGAGTACTTGTCTTCTAGATCATTAGCTGAATCGACTCGACTCAGCTTAGCAGCCTCAGCTCGGTTCGGTTCGGATCGGTTAACCTCATGAATCCCATTCCTCCACAATCGTTTTAGGAGGTGAGATGCGGGTATTACTCTGATCTAGGTACTAATAACTGAAATGTACTTGGAAGTGTTTTGGATAGATGGATGATAGGGTTTGGTGGTGTAGGTATAAAGGGTATGTCTAGATGTGTGGATATCGTCAGATCGTTAGATTTGAACGAGTTTTTTTTGGATTAGGAGGAGGGATGAGATGGGATGAGATGAGATAGGTGAATGTATATGACGGGATTGTGAGGTTTTGGGGTATAAGATAGGAAGATGTGGCTATAAGTGTATTATGATGAGGTTATGTGTGTGGTGAGTGTTCTTTGGGATTAATCCTGTGGATATGTGGGGGGTGTTGTTTTGAGAGTTGGGTGAAGCTGAGATGGTGGGGTTGTGAGAGTGGGGGTGTGGGAATGGGAGGTGGTTAGTATTGTGAGCGTTCTTTGGAAGCATGAACGATGTAGGTTTTTATTTTGGTTGGGATATTTGATAGGGGTTTTTGGATAGGGGAAGGGGAGGGGGGAGGTGTATGGTGCTTTGATTCTGGTGATGCTATGGTACCATGATGTTATGGTAGGGATTGGATGGGATGGGATGTTAGGATTTAGATTTAGGTACTCTTTGTTTTATGGGAGTTTTCCGGGTTTTTATTTTCTTGGAAAGGGGAGGGGATAAAAGGAATGGTTGCGTATAGGTTGGGGAGTGATGAATGTGGGTTTTATTTCACTTTTCTTCTTACGCTTCATAAGTGGTATTTTCTGTGACAAAAAGAGGGTATTACTGTGGGTTTTTATAGATTTTAGTAGCAGTTAATAGTAATAAGACTAGTAATTAAGTAAGACCTTACGAGCGTTCCTTGCCCTTACGCTTCTTCCTCTGGATTCCTTAAGTATTAGTTTTAGTTTCTTAATCTTAAGCAATATCCTCGATCTCGTTGTTCTAATCCCTTTCATTCAAGCTCTTCTCTTCCCTCGAAATATAAATTTCGAAGTGGACTACTCTGTACGTACAAGACATCTTAATGAACTAATTATTTCGTTACTATTAATTTGTGTCGCTTATTATTAAAAGATTCTAGATAGTTAGACCGAGTCTATATCTCTTTATTTTAGAGCGAACTTTTGGTTCCTGATCCGCGTTATACTAAGTAGTGTTAAGCTAGGATATTTACTATATTTGAGGTCAGTGAATATTAAACATATATCTTGAGTTATGGACACGTTACTATCGATATCTCGATACACGTGGGTACAAAGGTAAAAAAGATCAAGCGCTAATCTTAAGTCCTCTTACGCTGTTGACATTTAGGAATCTAACCTGAAGATAACTTAAAAGGGAGTCTAACTGCAACTATTAAGTAAGTATCGTTAAGATTTTAAAAAGAGATTCTCTGGTGCCTAATACCAGAGCTGCGTGATAACAACCAGAATTTGTTGAAGAAACAAGACGTGCTTAGGTTCCGAGGCAGTGCTACTAATTATCGAGGACAAAACGAAGACTGTTAGAGTAAGCTGTGAAAAAGTAGATGGATAAAAAGAAGCTAGCTAAGGGGGAAAGGAGTACTCTGATATAGGAGCTCTCCTGTAACATGGGTCCTTCCTGAATGAGACTAGCGTCTTCCTGACAAGGCTAGCGTGGCTCATCCGGATCCATATGGAAAGCACGGGGAGAGTCTCGCTAAAGCAAGAGTCACATGCTAAACAACAAAGGTGGTAAACTTCAGCACCAGCGCGTTCCGTAACAATTGCCCCCCAAAAAGAAAAGGACGATGTCCCAGCGTCATCAAGCATGGATTCCAATAGAGTACCAATGACACCAAATCCATGTCCAACAATCATGTCAAAAGTCCAAGCCCAATATCCTCAAAATGGTGGGCCCAATTCCTCAGTCCGGCATCCTTCCATGCAAAGATCCGAATGGCATATGCCTTTTGGGTTGGTAAACTTGGCATTCAGGACAGTGCAAAAGATAAGATCGAATAATCGCGGAAAGTCCTGGAGAGTAGAAGGCTCCTGAACAGATATCGAAGAGCTTCTGAAACCCAGGATGATTATCCTTGTGGATCAATCGTCAGTCGGTACACGTCATATTAACAATCAATCAAATGAGGCTTATTGTTGGTTTTCTTTTGTATTGCTGGCTAGCTTCAAGTGCTTATAATTCGCTCACATATATGAGTGGAAAGCGAAGCATAAGCACCCTCGGCCACGCACCCCTTGCGGGGGCAGTTTAACTAACTACTTCAAGTGCTACCTTGCCCACATACGAGAACCACTCCTAATTCCAGCTGGCAAATTAGCTCGCTAATTAGAAGGCTCGATTTGTGGAAAGCAAGGCACAAAGCACCCTCTAAGCTAGGGTCCAAAACCCTCCTAGATCGCTGGCGAGCCTTCCAGTGAGGGGAATGTGGGTGGGACAAAAGAGCTTCAAAATACGCTCAAGAGTAAAAGAATAAGCGCCAAGTGCTCGGACTGACTTTGACCACATTATAGACCAATTCGAAGGCTCTATCTGGTGAAACACGAAGTATAGAGCAGGGCGATAACTTCGGCCAGATAGGCAAAGAAGTACAAAACGCTCTAATCCAGACAACACACAAAAAACCTCTAAAACTCGGCGAGCTATTCGCGAGGGGTATGTGGGTGGGACAAAAGAGCTCACAAAAGTGTAGCTGACGACATAGTGGATATGGTGGATATGGTGGTGGTGTTGAAGGCATGTGGCAGTAGTGGGGTGGGATATATATCCCACCAGCTTACCAAGCCTTCATCCTCATTCACTATAAATCCTGCCATATAATAGAACTTTGACTATTTTACGACAGAAATTCTATAAAGACGGAAGTACTACTAGTTTTATCTTCATTGATCTTATATAGGGAGTATATATAGTATAAATAGTAGTTCTATCGTTACTAAATATTAAGGTAGTAATTTAATCGTTTATAGGTCTTTTAACGAGTATTAATATAAGTTTATTAGATACTAAAGGTAAAAGATAATATCGAAGTGAATTTAAGGATCATAGACACTAATAATGGAACTGTGATCACTTTCCATATAGTGCCCGAATACGCACAACTGCCGAGTATGGCTGGCTGTGGGAAATCTTTAACTTGAGTCGGAAAGATTTTGACTAAATGAAAATCAATACACTAGGGCCGTATTCAGTGTGGGAAAAAAAGAAGCAGCCGTGATCTTGAACGTTTCAATCGTTCCCAAAACCCTTTCTGAAATTGTACTGATGTAAGACTACTTAGGAAACCGACCCCAAAAAGAACAACCCAGCCTAGACTCCCATAGCCCTCACTTGCATTACCAAAACCACAAAAAGAATAAAGTTGTGATGGATGATGATGAATGAATCTCCATACGATGAAAATGGATTAAAAATACAAAGATTTGAAGCGAATTTTTCGAAGGTTGCACCCCGTGAACAGTAAACAGTCCTCTCTGCCTCCCAACCACATCCCAAGCACACATCACCAGAAGCCACGGATCCTTAGAAGTTGTCCAGAGCAGTGGCCAGGCATAGGACTTGGCCGAGACCCCAGTTTTCTTTCTTTTCGTATTTGCTGTCAAAGTCGCGATGAGCCCCGTCACTGATGTCCTGGATGTGGTCTTCGCATTTCCAATCGTCGGAACCTTCGCGCTTGCCTTCCTTATACCAGCTTTCGTCATCGTCGAACTCTTCGTCTGTTTTGATATGGATTTCGATTTGGGCCTTGACTTTTGAATCTATGTAATCAATAAACTGCCTCTTCTTTTTGCCGCTGTTATCAAAATCCAGTGTGCTATACATAGTCACTTGAATATAGTTGGGGACTCTGCAATACTCACTGCACAACTGGTCAGCAAGAAGGATCCAGGTGTGGTGTTTAAAATACTCACAACGGCTCTGTGCGGCATCTCCTTCCATAGCACTTCTTAATATCCCTACTGTCACACTTTTTGCCGTCATTTAGTGAACCTTGAATCATGTCGGTAAGCGTCGAGATTTGCGTAGCTCCCTCCTCGCTAGTCGCATTGAAAAACGAAAAGCCCGAAGTGGTGATGGTGACAGATCCTTCGCTGATGTGACCATAGTTTGCAAATTTGGCAGGTGACCCTTCATCACAGCCATTTACGTTGCACTTTGGTGCGACATATTTTAGTACCATAGTGGGTATTTCGGCATCTCCAACGTCCACCTTGAGTATCGTTAGTCACTAGTGGGATTTTTGTTGGGACTGGCTTACTGAGGTGTTCCCAACTATCATGCTGAATTTATCCCGGTTGTATATCTGTGCCAGGGCAGTAGGCAACATTCCAACAACGACGAGACCCGCCGATAGCGAGTTCTTGAGGGACAACATTCTGAGATTAGGGTGCTGCAACCTTCTAGAAATTCGAGGTATGGATGAAAAAATAGCAAGGTAAGGAATGAAAAGAATGTAATGATAGTGCTCGTGATCGAGATTGATGCGATGAAGATTTCGAGTGATTCGGGCCATCCATTCTATATATGCTACTGTCACTTTCGACCATCAATTTGAATTGTGATTCCAATTCCAGAAAAGATATGTGGAATCATCTTTTGGGGTTAAAGAACTGTAACAGATTTGATTCGGAAACCAGGGCACTGTAGATAGTTAAGTAGCACTTCTGCTTGGAGAACTCTTCTCTCCTTGCAGACAATCTAATCATACACCCTGACAAGAACGTGGAAATCCATTCCAGGATGTCAAACACGTAGCATGGTAAGAGTGGAATGTGGAATTACCGGCCAGGGCCTGGACAAAACTAAGCGCTACCTTATAACATTCTGAAGCATGTAGGTTTCAACTTTAAATTCTTCATCGCCCATACAGGCTTGGCGATATAACGAGGATGACGTTGTTGGCTGGCACAAAATTGGTTAAGGACACCAAACCACGAGGCATACACGAGGTGTTCAAATTTACAACTGCTGTATGCGTGCATCACGAACCGCTCTCCGTATCAAATCTACAAAGAGAAGTGTTACCCGGAATCCAAAATCCTGAGAAAGCATCATCGTGGTCCCTGTAACTTCCTAGGTTCTCTTTTCTTCAGCATCTAACAAACCCTATTGGACTTGGCTCATAAACAACCTGAATCTCCCTTCTGGCTCTGAACAGCAGGGCATCGTATTTGAAACTATTTGCATCCAAGTCCCTGCTTTCACAGTAATTCATTATCTTAACGGCTAAAATGTAAGCACCAATCAGAGAAGAGGTAGTCCCCAATACCATGTTTTTGGAAGGGCAATACGTCATATCTTCATGGGGACCATGAGACCTTTAGAACAAGTATTGAATTTCACAATTTAAGGACTCTGGCTTAAAATAGCTTCCGTCGGTTTCCTCAGCCAAACTCTGCTTTACATATCAAGCTACCATCCAGTGTCTGGGGAGATATATGCAACTATTGAAGGTTGTCTGTTTTTATTATTTTAGTGGACCAGTAAACTGATGAATCAATCTTTACTTCCGAGTATTACGAAACAATTGAGGATCTAGCATTACCAATAGGTGAGAACTCATGAAGCGATCAGTGTAAAGTACGTAAGAGAGGCGGGCATTACTCCGTACACACCAGAGTTATAAAATATTATCCTAAAGACCTTATACAACTAAATCAATTGTACGAATAGTTCAGGATATTTGATACTTTTCACTCCTGATTAACCTAGGTGAAATAGGACAATTGATTTACTTGCGTCGGACTTTTGGCATAATGACATTTGATAGCGTGTACAGACCTAAAGCAATGACCAGGTTTCTTACTCCAGAGAAGTTCGTCGACAAAAATTGTATTGCCCCGTTAGCTGTCTTTATCAAATCACTCCGATCGAGATGATCTTCGTATCTTTTGAGACTAGGCAGTTGCGGGGTTTGTAGTCCCGCAGTATTGGCCAGGTGAGCTTGACTTGTTCTGACAACTTTCTGGTATCTCAAGAGCAGGCCTTGATGGATGGATTTGGCACCTACCGCTGCATTATGTATCTGTTTATCTCAATATGTCGAGTAAGATCCCGTCAAGGAGTAGTTACGATATGTTATAATTGTCAAGAATGCTATCTACAGCTAGTTGTTGCTATGAGAGCACACATATATGCTGTTAGTGTCAAGGTTTGTATGATTATTAAGGACTTAACCCTATAGCTGGGATATTTATTATTTACCAGTATCTATTGCGGAACATATCCCAACAGTATCGAATTTACCAATATTTCGGACTTGTTAGACATTTTTGGGAATTCAACAATTCTTACCTTTTTTTTGATTGCGATTTGCTTTTGAGACTATTCATATAATTAAGCTCAGAAGAAGTTTCCCAATATTTGTTGCGGCATTTAATATAGACTTAAAATCTTTGGAGGGAACCAGTTTATTTCAAAGTCTCACGGTACCGTATCATAAATCTACTACTAAACTAGATAACTAAATCGTAAATCGTAAAAGTTACTTTTGAAGTTATTTTGTAAGAAATCGCAAGTTATAAATCGTAAGTCGTAAATCGCAAAGTAGCTTAGGGTTAGGGTTATATAATAGCGCTAGAGTTAAAGTTAAAATAAGGCTATCCACCGAGAATTAAACAAGGACAAGGGACAGGATTATAGCCCCCTGCCTATACCTATACTCTTTCCCCCCTCCCCCCTCCTCCCTCCTCCGCTCTTACTGCGCCCCACTTATACTCCCCTTACTCTAGCTAGCGTATACTCGCTGTCGTAATATAGTGTCGGGAAGAAGGAGAAGGGAACGTAGGGGAGAGAGAGAGAGGACAGACAAGTAGCAAACAATTGTTAGCGCGACACGTAGTAGCCTAACCTCTTTAGGAAGGTAGTATTCGGGGGCTAGGAATAAGCGACACGCACGACTAAAAACTTTTCCCGACTCCTGTCCCTATCCGCCACTCTCTCTCTTACCCTCTCTCTCTCTCTTCTAAATGACATATTAGGACACAAAACCCTATACGACAGTGAGTATAGGCGACAGCGGGGGGCCGGAGGTGTACGACAGCGAGAGGGTGCGATAGTGAAAGTGACGAGTGTACACGTGAAAATTTCAAGGCTACAAAGTTTAAGCGAGGGTTAGGGTGTAGGGCTGTAGGGGTATAGACCCTCTAGCATAGTAGTAGTAAATATATAACTTTTACGATTTACGATTTACGATTTAGTTATCTAGTTTAGTGGTAGATTCAGGATACCGTACGCGGGGACATCTGCTCTAGAATCGTCTGACAAGTTCGAACGATTTTTGGAATTATCTTAGAATCAACAAATCCCATGATGAATTGACCACTGATGTAGTTGGTGAACTTGGTATACCAGAACTGTCCGAGTGAACCTCATATTGACAATGAAAGGGACACCTAGAATAAACTCAACCTTCCAGCGCCGATATTCCAAGGTAGAACGGCAGCTGCCATTTCATAAAGAATCTTTTTGATCTCAAAAATATCGCGCTTGAATATCCATCAAGCACCAAAGGAATTGCTCACATAGCAGCATGGAAGCACTGTATAAGAGCACTGAAAAGTACGTGAACCGAATCCCATTTGTGCACGGTTCGCGAGGCATATCTCGGATACATGCGAAAATATGTAAACAGTCCGATTTTCTGATTTTATGTTACATTTTAGTATTACAGCATGACTTTTCGAGTTCTGCCAATCTTGTAGACTAGGATGTTGAATTGTGCTAGAATCCAGACTACCGCAACGAGAACTAAGAAGATACCGCCGATCTCTGACCACTAAATGATGATGGTGGTTCTTTCTCAACTAGTTATTGTCACGTGATTCTCACAAAAGTACGTACTTTATCAGATTTGCCGTGTCGGTGTCCGATTCCCCGTATCTCTTTTTCAATTAAGCACCATAGCTCAAAAGATTATACTCTACTCGTGGAGAAAATAAGTTTCCAGCTTTTCCAGTAATAGTTAGTACGTCTTCCTACTACACTCAGTCGCTTATAGTCAGCGGAAGTAAGTACAACGCGAAAGCAAGTGCAACGTAAGGGGTTAATGTTATTATATTATAGTCATTTTTTAAGATACAAGGTTGTATATAGGCTCAAAAAGAAGCCCTCAATTAGCTCTAGAACATAATAAAGTACAAGCTATATACTACTATAGCGGACTGTAATATAATAAATAATACAGGAAAGTACACAAGGAGTACTCGTAGACGTACTCGGGAGTGCCTTGCGCACATAAAAAGTTAAGTTACGTACGCACCCTACTAAAATCGATTAAGGCATAGGAACTCGTAAACCTGTCCGTATTGTACGTAATTCAAATTAAAAAAACATAATCTTTTAGTATAGAATATTACTTAATTATACCTATAAGCCTATACGATTTATACGTCTTTCCGACGGGTGGATGGGGCGCTATATTGTAGTTAAGAGCGATATACGTGTGCCCGGCGTTGCACTGCTTCCGCGTTGCACTTGCTTCCGCTGACTACAAGCGACTGAGCGCAGTAGGAAGACGCACTGACTATTAGCCTAGATCCACCACAGCCAGGGAATCAGTAGCGGTAAGATTCCGCAGGTATCATTTCCCCGAATATTACCAGTGCTCCGCAACAGTGGGGGCTTCTAGTGGACGGTAAGTAAAAGGTCGCCATTTCAAGCCTTCTCAGAGTCACTTGGCTTCACAACTTGCAATTCTTGAGCCGCTTCGATACCGGTTTCAGATGTTGCCAATGAAGAATACAGGAAATGACTTTCCCATTCACGAAGTTGGTTTGCAGTCTGGCCTCACTTCCTCAGAAAACGAGCAGATGACCAATGGCCAACAACTAGCTCCTCAAAAATCCACTGTCGAGAGTCATTTTGAAACTAAAGTCGTTACAATTCGACAAGTTGCTCCCTTGGTCCTCAGTCTCACTGCTGCAAATTTTCTCAATGTATGTTCAAATTCATTTTCGAATGGGTTTCGTTTTACTGATGCTAAGCAGACACTTTCTATCCAATGTGTGGTTATACTACTTCCGCAAATTACCAAGGCGCTGGATATTCCAGCTACGCGGCAAGAATGGGTAGTATCAGCATACGCGTTGACATCGGGCTCATTCCTTCTACTCTTTGGAAAGTTGGGTGACGTTTATGGGAAGAAAATCATGTTTCTTATCGGCTGTTTTTGGGTTACTGCAACAGCACTTGGTACTGCTTTTTCACCGGTTGAAGTTTGCTTGTGCGTTTTTCGTGCACTTCAAGGCTTGGTATGTTCATCTGCTCGTTTATACGTAAAACAATATACTCATGACATGGAAAGGCAGCGGCTCTCACAATTCCAAGTGCAATCGGTATCATTGGCTATACCATACCTCCAGGGCGGGTCAAGAATTACAGCTTTGCCTTTTATTCCGGAGGCGCTCCGGTGGGGCAAGTAATGGGAAATCTCCTCGCAGGTTTCACTTTTTAAATCCTCGTACTGAACTAACAATCAGTTCTCAGGGAGGGATAATTTCACAATACACTAAGTGGACAGTTGTTTTCTACGCAGTCGCCGGGACTTCATTTCTCGTAGGACTTTGTTCATTGTTTGCAATACCAAAAGAGCCATCAAGAGGAATAAGCAGTGATTCTCAACCACGAGCGTCAGGTGTCGACTGGTCTGGGGCATTTCTATATACATCTGGAACACTTCTTCTCCTTACGGGATTATCCGAAGGCACTTCTCAAGGATGGAAAACCCCTTCTGTCATTGCGATTCTCATCCTTTCTACCATTTTCTTGGTCCTGTTCGTCTTCTGGCAGCATCATTTGGAAACAAAAACAACCCAAGAGCCCCTAATGAAAGTTTCTACATTCAAGACTGGAAGATTTTCCGTGGCCATGGCTATCGTTTGTTTGTTCTCCGGATCATTCACAAACTTCTTGGTCTATTCGACATACTTGTAAGTATTCCCGACAAAGAATTGATGAAGCATTACTGAGCCTCCGTAGTTATCAAGATTATCAGTTGCTTTCGCCACTTCAGACAATGCTTCGTTTCATACCCCTGGGTGTATCTGGAAGTAAGTATCCATTAGTCTCTTTTTTTCATCTTTACTAATTCGTACAGTTTGCTGCACAATTGCGTCAGGTTATCTCCTCTCACGTATAAAAGGAAATTACATCCTTATCTTTGGTCTCCTCGCTGCCGCAATCGCAAACCTTCTTTTCGCAGTTCGTATCCCACCTTCAACGTTATATTTCGCCTACGGCTTACCGGCCATGCTTCTCGCAGCCATGGGGGCTGACACTATATACCCTTGCCTCGGTTTATTTGTTACTCAAGCTTTGCCACGGAAGGACCAAAGCCTTGCTGGAGCTATGTTTCAAACAGTTGCCTCACTAGGACGGGCTATGTTTCTGCCTGTCGCTGCTGCGCTTCAATATGGTATCCAGGATCGTCTAGTACTGGAAGGTCAAGAGGAGAGAGCCGCTTTACTAGAAGGACTCAGGGCTGTGGAGTGGTTTTGTTTTGCCTTAGCAGCGTTCTCACTTGGGATGGCGGTTGTAGGGTTGAGAAATATTGGAAAGATTGGTTTGCTGAAAAAGCTGGGGAATGTGCAGTCTAGGATGAAAGAAGGAGATTTGGAACAAAAGTAGCAAAAATATACTTATTCTTGCTTCAAGTTCAGATTTCACTTCTCCATAAGCAAAGGTTGTGGTAAACATCTTATTCAGCGTTCTACAATTCTAGGTTAGCGCAAGCGATGAGCCTAACTCATTGGGATAAGCTGCAATATGCTAGATTTGCAAAAGTCATATTGGATACTCCAGGTCAGTGAGTAGGTCACTAGTTGTTGTTTACAAATTAAGAAAAAGAAAAGACTTCCTATTGGTTATATTGCCTAACACGAGGCCTGTTCTCAAGCATCTCCACAAATTTTAAGCCCACACTTGTCGAGGGCAATATATGAGGCAACCGAGTGACTTTACTATTGCTCGGTTTCTCTACTTAATTGCACGTATAACAGCTTCCAGAAAGTCTCCTGCTACCTGTGTCAAAGAAAATCATTGCTCTATGTACTCGTAAAGTATAGCCATCGCATAGAACTTTCTCCTCAAAGATTATGAGTTGCCCTTACATGTTCGTTCTCCCATAGGACCCCTGGCTTGACGAAATCCACCACAGCCCGTATGCAACGCTCCTGACCTGACGTACCGTTTTTGCCAAAACCAGCGTTCATTTTTAATTTCTTTAATACCACTTGAGCTCGATCCATTCTCGAAGTGAATTAAGGACCCTCCCTAGACGCCCTAAGCACCTCTTAACAACGTCATCCACCAATGAGAAGCATTCTTGTTGATATATTCAACTAAAGCAGGATCTTCGACTTGAAGTGGGTCAGGTGCGTCCACTACAATCACTTCAGGCACACCTGGCTCCTCCCACGGAACCGACGGACGAACAACATCAAAGTCCTTGTTGCACAGAGTACAAACCCGAATTCTCAAAGGATTGTTGTCCTCATACTCAACATTAAGCCACTTCAATAAGCATGAATGACCATAGCAGTGGTTACAAGGTAGTCTAAAAGGACATTCGGGGCCATCCATCGGGTACTCATCGATAGCATCTGCGTCTAATGTAAATTCCTCTTTGCAAATAAGACACTCTTGATTGTCAGCATCTAAATCGGAAACCTTGAGTCTTTCGACGATGTTATACACTCTGGTTGTAATGAGGTGAAGTCGCGGCGTGGTGTCGTATGGGAAGTGTTCTCGGTAAATAGCTTCGCTGCTTCTGCTCCAGAACTCGCAATCGGCCATTCGGAGCGCGTGGTGTACTAGACTTCGTTTTTTTAGTACGTCACTTTTCAGGGCTGTTTTGAAAAGGTAGAAATGAAAGAAATCCTTACTAGTAAACCATGAGGTGCTTGGAAGTCAATTCAGTGGTCCAGGGAACATGAATATGTAGGATATTAACAGTCTCACTGTTGTCAGAAGGGCTTTCACCGTTATCATGAGCTTCTTCAGCGTGCTCAGGGGGTTCGTTTTCGTCTTCGATTTCGGTTTCTGCTGCGTCGTCGTCGGCGCCAGGACTCGGTTCTACGAATTCCCAGCCCCAGTTCTCCCAAATTCGTTCATAGAGGATTCGATCCAAATTCGCAAGCCAACGGTAGTCCTCTAGATTCAACGGATGTGTCACGAGCAATACCGGAGGTCCTTGGAGAAGCTCTATTTGGCCATTTTCGTGCACCTTTGCGACTGCGGCGATCCAAGAACGATCATCCAACTTTCCCACAAGATTCTCTCCCAAATCCAGATTCAAGACACGGTCTGCTTTGATGCGCTCTGTATCGCTAAGTGGGAGGTAGAATTCGTTATTGGGTGGTGGGGAGCTTATATCGCGGCGAAGGGGGCAGTTTCCTCGTGGACAGCCACATCCCACGGGATTCTGCTTGATACTATCAAGCATACACGTAGGACAGTGTTGCTCGATCTTGATTAAGACGTATTCGCTTTTTGCGCAATTCGCTTTTTGCGCATTTCTTTCCCAGATTTTCTGCTTTCGTTGCGCATATAACCTCGTATATGCCCTTGTTCACATGACTTGCTCTATGTTGGCACTGAGTGTACACGTGAGCCCAGTGGGTACACATAACGAAGGCCTATGTTTGTAATTTGCGATTTGTTTGAGAAGTTATGCTGTGGTTGTTCTGAGATTTGTGAGGGTATATGAGGTGGACAATATGAGAGTGGATCCTTTTTCCTTTTTGTGTCGTCGTTGAAAGGATAATAGCTATCATAGCTCTGTGCGTTAACATATGTAGGCAAACTCTTGCTAGCTATAAATCGAAACGGAAGATGAACGATCCTAAAGTGAATCGACAGACGTATAGTAACGCGCTCAGGCCAAAACTACTACTTAGTATTCACGCTCAATTTGCATCTTTCCATTCTCTTTATGGTCTACGAAAGCTGCAACATGTAGCTTTTGGTTCCTTGTGCAATAATAGCGATTGAAACTATCCTTCTTAGGGTATTCAAAGACAGTTCTCCCAGAATATTCTAGACTAAGCTTTTCATTAATCTTGGATTTTTCAAATAACGATTACCTGTATTACCTTATGAAGACAAAATATTCAGAGAGCGCTCTTCACGAGGCACTGGCCGGGTCCTCAAGCATTCAGGAAAGAGTGGTTGCTTTGTAGGCGCTATCAACAATATTAATGCTTGTATGGAATGGTTGAAGCTTATCACATTTTTAACCTGTCAATATCCTAACTTCTCAACCATGCTAAATTATTTCGAGCAATTGCCAATAATTGCGGTCACCCAGAAACTTTCGGGGAAAACAGAAGCAGTGCAATTAGAACAATGCCTTTCTCTCAAAACTCTTCTCCGTGTTGCGTATTGTTGTATGTCCTCCGAAAACTAGTACTTAGAAACAGTAGAACACGACTGAACGACGAGAGTCTAATCTGGCACGATCTGATGAAGGTGACTTGAAACATTCCATAACTGTATTGGCCTGCAAATCCTGCCGCCGTGGATGAACATGGAGAAAATAGTTCAGAGTGGCAGTAAACATTGGCAAATCTTCGATTATGAGTCCTCTGATTGGCGTAGAAGCGAAAGCTCTGGGTGTCACGTGATATGCCCCCTTTTTTTTCTCTTAGCCCTGTGGGTTGCAACGTTAATCAGGAGACGTTATCAAATCCCAAGAAGCTCAAGGTACAAGCACTCGTGAAATTTTTCCAAAAGAAAATTCATAGACATGAATAAAAACAATCCCCACGTTGCACCAGATATTTCTACTACACAATCATACCAGGGTTACACACATAGAATACGCCACCTTTCCCATATCAAGCTCAAGAAAGCCATCAAAATTAATACAGCCATTGGCCAACTATACCCGCCAATGGTACAGAGTACAGATCTATCAATTCCCGCCACCCCAGACAAACAACATAACATTTGCCGCTGTTCCCCCACCCTAAGCGAGGCACGATCCTAGTACTTGCCGGATAACGCATGCATCCCCAACTTGAACCAGCAAGAAATCTCCCGATAGTCAGATCTCTCATACTAATCACTACGATCATAAACCCCACATACCAGGATGAGATGCAAGAGTCAATCCCTCCCAGGATCTGCATCGGCAGCTGCCTCCCTCAGGTCCGAGAGCCTCCCCTACAGCCGGGGAAACGTGCAAAATGACTGATCTTTATGATATGAACGGCTCATTTCGGCGAGAAACCATACTTCAGGATGGATACCGGGTCATTTGAAGGTCTTTGCTTTCGAGTCCTGACGGAAAGATATCTAATCTGCCAACATCCACGTGAGAGAGGGAATGCTTGGATTTTTCAACACCTTCTACGACAGGCAAAATCATGGGATCCCCATTCTCTCTCACCGTAATTTTAATCCCTTATCCTGCAAAGCTGATGATGAAAGACCAAGTTTCGAAATTCGAAGCTCAAAACCATTTACCGAACTTCTCGCCCACTACGAGCCTGTTATTTTCTTTCCCAGACAATCAGCTTCTTTTCGGAGTGGTAAAAGGCGTTTTCGGTGGGCATACGTGAATCACTTGCGGGGATGTTTGCGGGAGGCAAAAGCAAAAGTGTAGGGTTTATATGCTTGAAATGTAAGACCTGACGTTGGAATTTCCATGTCGAAAAGGCTAGCTAGGGTATGCCTCCACATGCAGATCGCTAAAGTCCTGCATGTTCTGTGCAACAACCCGAAAAGCTGGTCAGTGTTCATGGATCGACCAGCCATCTTGCCCCGTTTCGTGTGACTGTTTGTGTACGTGCCGCCTGCCGAGCTGTCCTATGTCTTTGGGGATTCGGAAGAGAGAATTCAGACGATGATTTAAGATATAGAAGCTTTAGTCACTGGATATCAAAGTCTGCGTGGTATGAAGGGAGTATCTAGTAGGATTGTTTGGACAATTGTCCCAGGTGAATGAAACGACTGAGGTGGCAAGGGAGCGGGTAACAAGGGGAGTCATCCCGTAGAGGTTTGGGGGTAGGGGCCTGGTATGGGCATCGCGTGGTCCCTCAACTCAGTGGTTCATGGCACGTGGGCAGAGTATACAAAAGATACTTCGCAACCACAGGATTCGGAGGTTACCGGAATACATCCCCCTCTCATTCCTACCAGTATCTTCCACACTGTGACCAAAGCGGTCAAAACTGCAGAAACTGGCTCAACTGTCGCCTCCAATTGGTCGTTTGCCCCCAGAATCTTAGTTGTCAAGCAGTCCAAGCTCGGGTCGACCTGCAGGAAGCCGGAGTTTGCTACGGTCAGAAACGTCTGGTTCGTAACACACGACAGAAGATTTGGCCTAAAGAAAGATCCAACTATTCCTCAACGATATGAGACACACGAACGAGTTCATTGCCTCAATGGCGGGCACGTGCATCGCAGGTCGGGTCATGCGGTATAGCCGCCATTTTCTACCGTGTTTATAAGTACCAAAGGCCGATGACATACTAGCCCAATGAGGAAATTATTGGGGCATGAGAGATAGCCCAAGATCCATATGTTGGCCAGAAGCACAAAATATGATCAACATCCCATTCATTTCTCAGTACTCAAAAAAGAAGGCATGGTGTTCATCATCACAATTTGGTGACGGCACTGATCCGCCATTTCCATTGCAAGGGGTTTTATAGGGCAATTCCAAGCGCTATTGACAGCAAATGCAAAGAAAGGGGCACGGTCTTGCGGGAGTACTCCCTTCTTCGGGAACTCCAGAAGGCCAAAGTCTAAGATTGCCATCGATAGTATCACCAGGACTCGCCTGTATCATGATCTTTCTCCCACCCAACCATACAAGTCTTGAGCAGCTTGCATTTACTACCCATAATATCCCGAATAGTCTTCTTTGATTCCATGCTTAAATTTGATATCCACTAATAGTCTTCTTCGTCAACGAGACTTCTTGTCTGTGTATCATTCGACTGTATAATACAGTCGAATGAGACACAGACACGCACAGAGAGATCTCATTGAGAAGAGAGATCTGATTTTGAACATAGGTACGTACTTACGCCCTACTGCTTCGTTGGCGGTGCAGCAGATGTATTATGACGATGGTAGAGTCGCTCAACGCTCAGATAACTCTCTAATTCATAGACAGTGTTGCGTTTTCCGCGCTTTGGAACGGAATAGAAGGGAGCGGTGGGGCATAAAGAGCCAGTAAAATAACCTTCTCGAATACCAGAGCATAATCTGCAAGTCTAGAAAGCCTGGGCCTGCATTCAGAGCTAATTCTCACAACCCAACTGCCTGCACAGATTCTGCTGTTGGGAAGCGATGCTGCATTGCATAGCCTAACTGACTGAGTTTGAGATTTCTAGGAATCTTGCTTCTGATGCGCATTAGGAGGACATCTTGGTGTAGAGCTCACGCGAAGCTACATACGAAGAAGAAGGGAGCGGTGAGGCGTTACCATGATGTTTATGAACGCAGAGCCCCGGATTGTCTTGAATGACTTCGAAACCTTTGTTCCAGTCTATAGAGCGGACCCGATGCATCAAAGCCTTGTTGAAATGACGAACAAAAATAACGATGTGAAGTTCTGGAATGGTTTTGGGTCCGTGGCTCCATCGCAGCAGAATGGCAACTGGAATCAACGAATACCAATAGATACCTTCGGCAGTGTCGAAACCCCACAAGTAAGAGCCACTTTCCACAAAATCAAGAAAAGGTGTGATAAGAACAACTAATAAAATAAAGGTGCACAACACAGGTTATGAAAGATACTTTGTTGAACAATCTCCAACTTCTGTGCCTCCTCTTGCAGTGAACCATCTACCAAGGGTAGGCTCATATACGATTTCGACTCAACAAGAACAGACTTACAAGAGATCGTTGATGCAGCATCATGCTTCGACAGGTATGATGAATCAGTTCCAGGAACAGGATCCAATGCTTGCAACTCCATATCATCGATGGGACTATGGACGAGATGGCTTGACGGAATTTGCAGCCTCTCAGTCAGGATATCAGGGATATCCATATAACATGAATTCGAACGAGACAGATATCAAGCCATTTGGTCTGCAATCGTCTGTTCCATCAAATCAGCCATCGTATACAAATCAAGGGTCGTTATCAATTCCAACTTACGATTCAACATATCCGACCTATGCGCCGACGAGTACGCCCCTGGCTTCTCAACCCTCAACAAACTACGACATGGCAAGCTCCAGCACAGATGAGCCGTCGTGGATGCTAGCATCAAAAGCCCCTCTCTATCAAAATCCTTTTGGGTACCCTCCAACTCACCATGGCTTGCCACATTCGGTAAACACTTCCAGCCAACAACCGCTACAGCAACAGAGCTATCTATGGGATTCGGATGCCGATGCCGACATGATAAAGTGGAATCCACATGCTGATACACCAAGTACCATCTCCCCCCAAAAAATGCATCTAGCAAACGTTTCGCCGCCCGCATCATTTTCGTATTCTGCCTCTGGTCCAGAAACCTCGTCAACTCAGACAGATTCGTCCAGCGGCGCTGAGGATTCAGATTATCCAGCATCTGAGAACTTGAAGGTTCTCAAAGAGCCAACCCCTATTCGTCCAACACGTCAAAAGCTTCCAGACTGTTCAGGTCCCCACAGGCAAGCACCAATTTTACCAAGCAGTGACTACAGATCAACCACCAAGGGCAGAAAGGATCCTATACCGAAGACCAAATCAATTAGACACAGCCGGACAAAATATCATTCAAATGAAAACGGGAGAACGCCAAAAATCGAAAAGGCTTCCAAGCATGCGGCAGAGTCAAGGTCACAAAACTCGACGCCAAAAAAACTCCAACCAAATGGCCCAACACCAACATCTGATTGGAATGGTACTCCACAACCGAGCGCTAAAATCCAAGCCGTGAACCCACAGAATGCTAAAGACCAATTTCTCGTTGAGTCCAAATTAGCTGGGATGTCGTACAAAGACATCCGCCGAAAGGGGGGTTTTACTGAAGCGGAGTCAACATTACGAGGCCGGTTCCGCACTTTGACAAAACACAAGTTAGCTCGAGTAAGAAAGCCGGCATGGACTGAAAATGACGTGCGTTTATTGACATCCACTGAGTTATCTAAGAAGCTGACATTACTGTAGATTGCTCTATTAAGAAAAGCTGTCCGCAAGCTGACGCACGGAACCGATCCCAATCACTGCAAAGTTCCTTGGAAGCAGGTTGCCGAATACATCGCCAATAATGGCGGATCCTACCACTTTGGAAATGCCACTTGTAGGAAAAAATGGGATAAACTCCAAAGAGAATCTGGAGCAGAAATTGCAAGCGAGGACAAATTCAGATGAAACTTTGGCACCTCGGCGAGGGTGTGCTTTTCGTTAGGCGATACCACTGGATTCTGGATGGGGATTTCATTCTGGAGCAAAGGTTGCTTACAAGTGTTCGTTATGAGAGGAAGCAGCGGGCGGTATACCGATGGCCCCCAATACATGTTGCAGTTTTGAAAAATCATTTTGCAAAGTTTGCCATTCTCCCTCACTCTTGACTAGCAATGTTCCACCCAACACTGCTCCATTGAGAGCAATCGGTTCAATTTTGTTGCCATCTGCACTCTCTATTTCCAGTCCTTCTGAAACCCGTGGACACAGAAGCATTACTCGATCCGTGAAGCCAAGGTTGTAGCTGATTGGAGATTCATGGTCTCTCGTGGACTTCGAAATCAAAGGAGTACCGGTTGGTGAGCTGATCTGATATTTCTCACTCGCTAGGCAAGCTTGTTGGTGCATTTTGACGTATAATTCATGGAGTTGTCCGGGGGTTGCATCACGTGAAATTTCCGAGGCAAAATACGTAAATGGTAGATCTAACCAGTTAGCAAGATTGACGCAGCTTGAAGTCAAACTAACCTTTTTGTTTTAAGAGACTGTCAGCAAGTACGCTCCATTCTTCCGAAGGTTTTATTCCACTACGCATCGACTCAACGGGTAGGAATTGTATGTGCCTATGCGCTTGCGAGGCACCGGAGAAATTCCCAGAATTGAAGAACCCGAATAATTCTTCTCCATTCTCTCGATACGCCTCCAAACACCGATATGCAGCCTCAATATCTGCTTCTTCTAGCAAGTCTGTTTGCTCCTTGAAGGTCGTGGTCGCAAGGATAAAATGATTGGGAATGACAGGGAATTTGTTTAGCACGAGGTAATGTGAAGGTTCTAAATTGGCGATGAATAGGCCTTTCTGGGGGCTTTCAAATGGATCCACGGGCTTAGTATTGCCTTCAGATTTCTTTGCCTTGGGCTTGTTTGCTAGAGTGGGGGAGAACCGAAGTTGGAACTGCGATTAAGGTCAGCAAAGAATGGAGATTTGATATTGACTCCGGATGAATTACGGGGAGATCGTTACACCGAAGAATAGAGACCTGTGTGGCATAGAAGGTCAAGTCCCCAGCCTCTTGGGCGGCCTTGAATTGCCTCCGTACAAGGCGCGGGAGAGCTTTCAATGACTCCATGTTTAGATTGGTATCAGAGTTATGGTCGAGGTGGAGGTCGAAAGAAAAATCCCGTTGCCTGTGGCTATGGGTGGTTTCACCTCGGCATCAGCCCCACTACAGTACAGTACCTTGGGGGCGTGCAGGAATGCAGGAGATCGTGACTTCTGATCACGTAATAGTCCGTGCCCTTCCTACGGAAGGGCACGGACTATTACATGCGCCGGAAAGGAAATTTTGACCTCGTCGTTCAAAAGTTCAAAGGATCCAACTAACCACGTTTTGATTGTTTGGAGACCGTCAGGGCAACTAGTGGATTTCTCTTGGCATGTCAGATTCTACCCGTGGCCGTCGTGGAAAGAGTGGGAGGAAGTCATCGATCTAGATATCTGATTTGATTACTTGAATTATCCCAAGTGGTCTCAATTCTTCTAGAATTTACGTATATCTCAGAAAGGTTTTCAAGACCTGGAACAATGAGGTTATTTGCTGCAGGCACCTTAGCTTTTCTCATCTGCTACGTTGCCATCTCACCTTCAACATCAGTATCAGATCCTTTTCGCGCTCCCGATCCATCCAATTCCTCCTACGCTCTATTCTGCCTAAAATAGGCAGTTACATCAAAGGGGTACAAATTCAAAGCCGCAATCACACCGAGTACTTTAATCGCCCCATCCATGGTTGTGTAACTTTACGTAGTTGGAACCCTGGGGAATTACTCAGCCGCATCTTGTACAACCCCCTTCTTCCTAAACTGCAACAATCACATGTCCCGTGCCTCTCCCGTCGGTGCCTCTCTCGAGGCTCTTCCCTCGATATCTTCTCGCCTGGCTCTCAAAGACCCCGGGCGGGTTCTTGCACATACAATCTAACTATACTTGTATAACCATCAAGTAAGACTTGTTCAACAACCCGAGTGGCTCAGCAATCTCGCATTCATCACACTATATTTGTGTTCATCAAACGTTCATTAATGAGAAGACTAGCCAGTTGCCAGTTTACTTAAGATTTTGGCCAAACATGGTGACCAAATCCCATTGATGTTGCATTTACGAAGACACCAACGAGGCGACCCCTTTCTGCAGGCCACACTTTTAGCGAGGTGTCAGCCGCAGTAATCTACAATGGTTCCTGGACAAGGGTGAGCCACTCCCAGGTCTTCAGAAGTACATTTCACTCCCAAATATATCCTTTTGGGGGCACAGATCGACCTTCGAGGTTACCGCTTAGGTTCGTGTCGGTCAAACTTAGTCAATCACCTGAGAATACTGACTCTAAGGTTGGCTGTGCCTCCTACTCCAGCCTTACGGGACTCTACTTTGGTCATACGGAGTATCACCGTGAGAGTCTTTTCGTTGCAATTCTTACTGTAGCCTGCGTATCTCATTTTGTTAGAGGCTCCAAACCATCACGGTCAAGCCGAGGAGAGAGAGGAGAGTGAGATGGGTGGCCTTTCGTGAAGATTGACTATATATACCCTTTTTGGCCGTCTCATTCGTCACATCTACTCTTGGTTTTTTCATAGAAACTCCAATATAGTCACAATTCATCAAGCACTACGAAGTGCAAGAGCCTTCTCCAGCATTTATCTCTAACTGCTTACTCCTTCTCTTTGCATCTTTGTAAGGTCACCACAGCAAAACTACGTCAAAATGGCTTCAAATCTAGATCCCAAAGCCGCACCCGCCCCCGCAGATACTCCCTCCTTCAGATCAGGCTCGCCAACACCCGAAGACTTAACAACACTGGGACATCCCCACATCCTCCGCCGCCTCCCAGACAGTGATCTCTCCATCGTAATTCACAGCCTCGGTGGCTCGCGTAACGTGGAGAGCCAAGTGCCCGTTCATCCAACCTCATGGCTCTACCCACCCAAGGGTCTCCCGCCTGGACTCTACAGAGAAGTCGTTACTGCTAGAACTGGCGCGATGCAAATGTACTACGCCTTCTCTTTCTTCTTCAACACAAGTCTCGTCATCCAGCTAGTTCTTGGTGCTCTCCTCACCGCTCTTGGTTCTCGAGCGACTGGCAAAGATGTCCTGATTACCGTTCTTGCTGCGGGGAACACCGTCGTCGCAGGATTGCTGGCTTTGATGCATAACTCGGGACTCCCTGATCGATATCAGAAGGATTGGGAAGAGTTTGATAAGGTGGAAGCGTATATGAGGGAGCTGATGGACACGGGAATTACGCTCAGGGATATGACTAGGGATGAATGTATTGAGGTTTGCTTTGCGAACTTCAGAAAGGCGAAGGATACTATTGCTAGGAACTCACCGTCTGCTTATTCGCCTACTGAAGGGGGAGCCCAGCCGATTGGTCAAAGTGGTCCTGTGCGTTTACAGTAAAGATTGGTGGCTATAATTGTTTCAGTTCTTATGGTTGCTTTTGAGTTATATGATATTTTATTCTTCGCGTGGAGTTGACTAAATTAGACGTTCTCTAAGAACAAATGCGTAAGCAAATTATTCAGTCAATCACCATCTTGAACTCACGTTCCTCAGCAAAATGTCGTCCATTGAGGTTTTTCTATGCGCTCCACATTCCCAATAACAAAGTCATATTCTTTTGGATACGTAAAGCCTTTGTATTGCCAAGTAAATTTGTCCTTCTCCACTGGTCCTTCATTGTTCAAGTTAATACTGTCTCTCTCTTCCTACTAAACTCTCCATCTCAGCTGCTAGTCCTTAAAGGACTTCGTCTATTTGGGCTCTGAGGTAAGACAGTTTAAGCGCAGGTGCGAGCTAAAGTATTAGGTATCAATAACCTCAAAGTCTCAATCTGAAAAGACTTGGATTGAGCGAAAGAGATTGCCCGCTTCACTATTCTAATATGACCACTCTTTCTCCTTCTCACCAATCTGTTCTGGAACATTTTGTGGCATCTAGTCACAATATGATTATTAGCATTCTTCGAACTAGAGGGTATATTACTGTTATGCTGGGTCTACTTTCTCTTTTGCTCCACTTCCTTATTTGATCCACTTATAGTTCTGCTGCCTAAATGCTTCATGTCTGCCTAAACCTTACACTCTTTATATAAACACCTTAGATAGCTACCTTTTACAATGCAATCAATTCTCCATGACCTTCAGTACCCAATACCCTTTCAACCCAATAATTACTTAAACTGGATGTCGTAACAGGTGGCTGGATCACTCAAATTTGCTTGTGGCTTATGGATTATGGTTCAAAGGTAGACGAGGATAGCATTATTTTGTACTTGCTTCTTGTATACGCATGTATCATGGAAGTTAAGGTATTCTATGTAGATGCGGGATTGACTAGATATTCTGATGGACTAGTATAATGTTATTCATAAATTCACGGGCCGATTAAATGATAGCTGATGGCAACGTGACGGTGATATATGTACGAGAGGTCTTTGGACCAGAACTAGAAAGGATATATTCCATAGGACCATAGCCGCTGTTACGTGAAGTTTTTGCAAGACGTGATGAATTACGAAACAAAATCAAAAGTTATATCCATTGATTACTCGTGACCGCTTTCATGATCACCAACACATCATCTCAACCTCAACCCCTTACTCAACAATTCCATCCACCATCCGCCCCATAAACACTTCCAGTAACATAAGAACTCTCTGGTCCCAGTAGGAAAGCGATAATGTTCGCCATTTCCTCGGCGGTCCCAACTCTCTTGATCGCCGAAGGTAGATCAGTTCCCTCCTTCGGGTTCGCCTTGTGAGCTTGATTCAACAACGGAGTTTGAATAGACCCCGGTGCTATGGCGTTGACTCTCACCTCACGGTGTGCATTCTCTTTGGCCGTTGAGCGAGTGAGTCCTATAACACCGTGCTTTGTAGCTCCATAAGCCGCCGAACCCGCGAATCCTATATTTTGACATTTAGAGAAAACTCAGAGAAAGAATGAAGAAAGAAAAGAGAAACGCATACCTATCACTCCCTGAATTGAAGATAAATTCACAATCGACCCCCCATCGGAAATGTTCTGCAACTCAGCACGAAGACAATACATCAACCCGGTCAGATTCACACCAATAATCTCGTGCCACTCGTCATCCTCCAACTCGGTCAGATTAGTAAGACCATGACGTTTCCCAATGATTCCTGCTGAATTCACAGCCCCATCGAGCTTTCCGTACTTGGAAATGATGGACGCAATCCATGATTCGACGTTCTCTCGTGATGTTACATCGAGTTTGGTGACCGTGAAGGGTACGGAGAGTGAGCTGAAATGCGCTTCGGCAGTCTGGAGGGAAGACGGATCAATGTCGCCAATGCAAACCGTTGCTCCTCGTGACGAGATGAGTTTTGCAGTTGCTAACCCGATACCACTTGCGCCACCAGTAAGAGCGATGATTTTGCCTTGCATCGACATATTTTTGGTTTTGTTTGGCCGTTTGGGACCGATATGTTAACCCTAGCCCTATTCCCACGCAATCGGTTGCGTGTTATTATGGCTTCAAAAAATGTGAAAGATTCAATTTAGGGCGTCCTTGGAACGTTGATTTCTTTTGGTGTTGGTAATGGCACGAACGTTGGTGAACAGTCACGGATGATCTGGATGTGAAATATGCGGGAAGGCGGGGTCACCCCGCTTCCTCTCGCGTAGAAGAAAGACGCCGATATGAGGACATGGCCAACTCAAAAACGCAGCACGCTATAATTTCGGGTGGGATAAGGTCTTTCACTCGGTGTCTCCATATACCTAAATCGTAAAAACATGTACTGGAACCGAGACCGGAGTTTGCTTTGATTAATAATGTATAGTTCAAGCATTCAAAATGCCCATCTGTGTTATATTTAGGTATGGCTTAACTGACGTGATTCTATTTGGCGTCGTGGGGGTACTCTCCTCTGCAGGCAAGCCCACGATAGACAATTTAACAGTTGTAGAAAAGCCCTCGTCCTTGCTCCAGCTTCTCACCACACAGTAGAGTTTGAAGTAATTTTTGTAAGATAGTGTGCTAAGCCAGAATTCAAAGGCTCGCAGTAGACATTCAAGGCGATATAAAACTAGCATGGTCAAATCAACGAGCGAATATCGAAAGGGAACTGCAACTGTCACCTTGTTTCATAATTCCTTGAATCTTATGGCCACTTTGATCTATACAAGAGTGTACGGTGAGGCGACTGTTTTTTTTGTGGATGAAAAACAGCGTTTGTACATAGCCTCTGATTATCGTAACTTGATTTAGAGAATTTATTTGTTCTCCAATCTAAAGTATTTATAGATTTACTAAAAGACTTGAGACAATGAAGTAATTGTCCAAAAATGTTTAGGGTAATCAATCACCTATACTTAATCTAGTAAAACGAAATAGTAAGGTCATAGTCTTTTATAAATTATACTAAGGCTCTCTTTTTTAGAATACTAGTATACCTTTATCTAGAACGACTTCCGTTGTAAACCTATCTTTGAGATTCTTATTATAATTATTTCAATTATCTAGAATAACTTGATAAGAGTTGGGTTTAACCTAATAATTAGTATAATAGAATTAAACCAAATATTCTACTCATAAGATACTATGATCTATTAAGACAAACACAAATATTCGCTGTGGTTTTCTCTATCTGCCTAGAAAGTAACAGATAATTAAGCGTGAATAGCCTTATTATTCTAACTTAGTAAAAGCATTCTTGGTAACTCCGAAATTTCAGAACAATTAAAGTACCTATCTACCTAGCTACTATAAAGAGCCAGGGGAGTCACCCTGGCTATTTAATTTTGGCTGATTTACTTACTTGGTAACTCAAATCTCGAACAATTAGTTATGGATTTGCTGCGTGAGCCTCCCACCAGTGTAGCAATTGGAAGAATTCAGAGCTGTGGGGAATTGTGCACTTATGCATGCCTGCATTAGTTTTATGCAACTCCACTGCACAGCACCGCTATCTGCACCTTCCCCCAGCTTTCATGCAGGTCATCGACCCGCTGACCTGCTCCTGCCCTGTGGGAGGGGGAGCTTTGAGGTTCGTCACTTGAGGTTGAGGTTGAGGTTGAGGTTCGTTGTTTCCTTGCTTACCTTTCCATCTCCTTTCTTCCTTCTGCGGAATACTTGTACAAGTAGATCTCCTCCTATTGCTCACCACCAGGATTCTTGACTACCGCGCAGTACTCGAGTAGCTACATTGATTGGGATCTCCTAATGCCATAAATTCTACTTCCTTACCCACTACATTCTTGCCCCGGTCGTCTCCATATCCCACGATGCGCTGGACAGCAGATTGGTCTGCTGCAGCTGCAGCCCTTCTTATCGTCGGCGGCGCGTCGGCATCGAGCTTAAAACCGCCAGTGTTGCCTTTGACTGTTCGAAATCCTTACATAAGTACTTGGCTAGGGAGTGCTCGAGGTCTTCCTTGGGAACACTGGCCTATTTTCTGGACCGGGCAAGAGGTATATAAAATATAAGGTCTTGCAATTGAAAGCTGGGCTTACATTTCAATCGAGGTCGGATTATCCCTTCTCGCTGCGGTTCCCAAATCCAACCGTGTGTATCCACTTCTTGGTAGGCCCCAGGACTCGCTATCGAGGTCTGGAGATACGTCAGTCAGGACAAGGTCGAGAAACCTCCCCCATTCTAACTATCTCTCAGTTTCAATGTTTCATTTCCGACATATCTTGGTGCAACATTCGATGCTTCCACCACGAATCTCACTTACGAAATTCCCGGTCCCGATGAAACAGACCAACCTCTAGAACTCACTCTATCATTCCTCTCTCCGATCACACCAACCTCTACCCTTCGACAGTCAATTCCTGCCTCGTACTTGACTGTCCAGGTCGAAGGAAGTTTCAACGTCGATATATATGTTGATGTCAACGGGCTATGGGTTAGTGCCAACCGGGGCAACAAAATCCGATGGGAGATGAGCCAGAGCCTACAATCAGCGAGTGGAGGATCAGCAGCACCTCTCAAAACATGGAAAGTCAAACGGCAAACAGAGCAACTCTTCACTGAAGATGCGGACCGAGCAGAATGGGGTACACTTCATTTCACCGGCCCGTCAGATATTCAATATGAAGCGGGTACTTCTGCTCTATTACGGCAGCGCTTCTCTAGAACCGGCACTCTCCAAAATATTGTGGATGGAAATTTCCGTGGTATCATGGATGAGGAGCCAGTGTTTGCCTTTTCCAAAGCGTTCAAACTCAATGGTACCTTGGCAGGTTCCAACGACCAATACAAGGATAGCGTACTGTTTACCATTGCACATATCCAAGACCCAGTCGTTCAATTTGCTTCGGCCAGAGGGTTGACCATGATGCGACCATTATGGGCAGCTTATTACGCTACGGCAGATGCACTCCTTGATTTTCATTATCATGATTTCGGCAAAGCCTCTAAACTTGCCGCCAATTACTCTATGCAACTCGAGATTGATGCTTTGAAATCAGGATCTGAGGGTTACAAGGACATACTTGCATTGAGTGCTCGCCAGGTCCTTGGAGCTTGCAGTTTCGCAGGCACACCAGACGATCCCGTCATTTTCTTCAAGGAAATATCGTCAGATGGCAATATGAATACAGCGGATGTCCTTTACCCTGCGTTCCCATTCTTTACATTCACGAACCCGAAATGGTTAGTGTATCTTTTGAACCCCCTTATTGAGCATCAACTCAGTGGCCAATATCCAAACGACTATGCAATGCATGATCTTGGATCTAGCTTTCCAAATGCAACAGGCCATCCGGATGGTCGTGATGAGTATATGCCTGTGGAAGAATGTGGAAACATGCTTATCATGGGGTTGGCGCTTGTCAATTCTCTCATCTACGACACAGAGCCAGCGAGTATATGGTCAAAAGAAGGGGATGACCAGTACATCGAATCTGCTGGCAAATTTCCACTTTACGTTGACACTGATGGTATGGACGATACCTTTGGTGGTCCAGTATCGGCCAAGGGAGAAAAACAAGCACGAAAATGGATTGAAGGATCATATACACTGTGGAAACAATGGACGGGCTACCTTGTTCGAGAAGCTCTCATTCCAAGTAACCAACTTTCCACAGATGATTTCGCTGGCTGGCTAGCCAATCAAACCAATCTTGCATTGAAAGGTATCATCGGCATTCGTGCAATGTCTGAAATAGCGGAGCTGGTTGGAGAAAAGGAAGACGCAAAATACTATCGCGAGATTTCTGAAAGCTATGTCAAGAGATGGGAAACAGAGTTTGCTCTTTCTAGAGATGGAACACACGCAAAGCTTGCCTACACTTGGTTTGGTAGTTGGACCACGCTGTATAACTTGTTTGCAGATTCGCTACTCTGTTTCCATCTACCAAGTTCAACATCAAATGCCGTCACTGGCCAGAAGCCACTGTTGACGCAGATCAAGTCAAAGACTGCATTTGTTGATGAAAAGATATACAAGATCCAGAGTGACTGGTATCACAACGTTCGTCAACGATACGGCCTACCACTTGATAGTCGGCACCTGTACACTAAGAGTGATTGGGAGTTCTTCGCCGTAGCTGTTGCCAGCAAACAAGTTCGGGAGGAAGTAGTTGATTCGATTGCATTGTGGGTCAATGAGACATCAACCGGTAAGGTTTCATAGCCCACTTTCATATAGATCCCTCTGACAAATATCAGATCTCCCAATGACAGATTTATATGATACCGAAGGAGATGGTGGATTTCCAGGTTTCTCATTCAAAGCACGTCCAGTTGTAGGCGGCCATTTCGCTTTCCTGGCTCTGGAGAGAGCCTGCGGAGGAAAGGCCATGGAAGGGCTTGCCTTCTTAGACGACGAGAGGCCGAAAGAGTTCTCGAAGGAGATGTTAGAGGAATCTTTAGAGGAGACACTTGAGAGCCATGATGGAGAATTGTAGAGATAAATTGGGAGAAGGAATACAGATTTCGCTCGTAAGAATAACGCATGCATTAAGAGCAGCGGATTTGTAGAGCAGAAATAGAGTTTCTTACTTTGTAAGAATTGGATTTTTATTGCGAGTTTCTATTGTTGCGACTCTCGCGCTTCAGATACTGCCTCGTGGTGGGCATGGTGAACAGTAGCAGATATTGGACGATGAAAGTTGGTTGATCTGAAACTCTGGGCCAATCAATTCGAACGATCTGTAGAGGTAGAACAACGATTGAGTCCAGCTACTCCCTACTACAAATTATTATTCTCACCAGGATAATCAGACAGTAACAAGAAACCGGAAAAAAGCAAAATAGGTAAATTTAGGAAGTGGTGAAGCCCGAATGATTCACCTACAGTACGGAGCACCGCTACGCTACCCCCTTCCCTTGATTTGAATCTTAATATGGATGCAAACTCGGTATTTTCTTGGCAGCCTATTTGAGGCATCAGGCGCGGCTGACTTTCCGACGCTAGTGTGTCCGGATTAGGTTAGCGCGGCTGAGCCCGTGCGCCATTTTCTTGCTCCCTTCAAGTCAAGCTGGCTCGTCGTCGCAAACAACAATCCAACTCTTCAAAGAGAACACAACATCATCAACTTTCCATCTCTTCCATTCGGCTGAGATACTCCAGATCTTCGACCGCTACCCTCGAGTTGATTATTTCAGCTCTTGCGTCGCGCCGCACTCGATCTCCCCTAATCTACAAATAATAAACTTCGGCTTCACCCTTTCATCAATTGATCAAGACACCCATCTCATCATGGCTTCCATGGATTACGAGAACGAGAACGGCACTCGATTTGAAGGTATGCAATTCCACCCTCATCTTTTGGATGAGGCCGAAGCCATCCTGCTCGATGCAATTGGCGTACTTAATGCTGACACGACTTGCGACGCGTAGATGAAGCACCACGCTACGACCGCGACCGCAGCGCCTCTCCTCGCCCAACCCGCCGCAACGACAGCCCACGAGGTGGTCCTCGCAGATCTGCCTCTCCCAACGGCAATGGACATATGGACAGCCGGTAAGTGACGCTTTATCCATCTGCGCATATTCACCTTCTGACAATATTTAGTGGTCCTCCAAAGAACGACCGTGGCCCACCAGCTGACGATGGCGCAATCAACCCAGGCTCCAACTTGTTTGTAACTGGTATCCATCCACGTCTCTCTGAGCAGGAGGTTACTCGTCTCTTCGAGAAGTACGGTGAGGTTGAGAAGTGCCAAATCATGCTTGATCCTCACACCAAGGAATCCCGTGGCTTCGGCTTCGTCAAGATGGACACTGCTGAGCAAGCTGATGCGGCCAAGGAAGGTCTTCAAGGTGAAGTCATTGAAGGTCGTACCTTGAGCATCGAGAAGGCGCGTCGATCTCGTCCTCGTACTCCAACTCCAGGAAAGTACTTTGGACCACCAAAGAGAGGCTAGTACCCCATCACCCTTTGTCTTACACAATTAACTAAAACATCAGAAGAGGACCCACGTCACGGACCTTCCGGTGGCCGATACAATGATCGTTTTGATGACCGTCGTCGTGGAGGCGGAGGATACGGAGGAGGAGGACGATATGATGATTACCGCCGAGACGACCGCCGCGACAGAGGCTATGGTGGACGTGATCGAGACGATTATGCTCCTCGAGGAGTCGACCGCTACGCCCGCGACGACCGATACAGCAGCCGTGGAGGCGATGACCGCCCTCGTGGCGGTGGAGGATACTCTGATCGTTATGATAGAGGAGGAGACCGTGGCTCAGCTCGTGATGCTCCACCTGCAGCCGCCTATGGCGATCCTGCCCCTCGTCGAGAGGCCCAGGAGCCATACGGAGGTAGACACTACGATGATGAGAGATATGCCCGTCGTGAATATTGATCGCTGACCAACTTAGGTGGTGAACGCCCTGCTCGTTAAACTCGCTCGATCTTGACGCACAACAACAGCTTTGGATCTGCGACTTTCATTGATGCAGGTGCACTTTCACGTGTTTCCTTTTCTTATTGTCTTCCTCGCAAATATGGTCCAAAGCTTCGAGCGGCGGAAATGCAAAAGCGGGTGTTACACTTTCGGCGGATCGAGCAAACTTTCGGGTCATTTGATGACTTTTCTTACGGATGCTAGGGACTTTTTTTTTTCTTGTAGCTTTCTTCTCAGGTCATTACGGAACGACATTCTGTCAGTCGGGCGCGCGGGTCAACAATTCAATGGGGCCCTAGATTGAGTTCCTCCCTGGAGCAGATATCTGGTTCTTTCACGGTCAGCCCTTATAATCAGCACATCATGTCCCCTTGTACAACTATTCAGCGTTGGCTGCGCAATATCACAACCATGATTTCGGCCTTTTACGCCTTTTCGAAGCTGTCTCGGCTTGGTCTTTTTTAGTCGCCAGAACAGAATCGAAAAGCAAAAACTCAACCTTCCACTCTGTGATCAACAAAATTCGCATTGCACAAGCAATATTTTTTGACAGCAACTTCCCAACGTGCTTGTTAATTACGATAAGAAAATCCGATAGATACTTTCCATGATAATTTGCAATAACACCGCCCCCGCCCCTTTAACACAATCTTCAACTCGTCATTTCCATTAAGAAGGCAACTAAATCGCTCGTAAACTCCATCTATACATCATTGTCGCCATGTCAAAGTTCCCGCACGATTCATTGATGTATTAATTATTAGCCTTGGATTCACAGACTAATCCCGAATCAGAAAAGGTAATTCCCATAAGTGACAAAGTTGTGGCTGACACATGAGTCCTACAGGTTCGTTGAGATAATAGAGTACTTTGGAATGTAACTTTTCGTGCATCCTTACTAAATTTACAACTGGACACAAATCCATGCACCTAAATACGCCACCCGGGTTCGCGATCATGTCTGTGTTAATGCTCTTATCGATTGAACAGGGTCGAATTATGCAATTATGCTCATCAGACCCTTGTGTAACGGTATCCTTTGATTTATTGGTAGGTCATATGAATCGTGTTACTGACCAAGATGGAGGCGTATTGCCAAGAGTTTTATATCGGTGGTAGGTCACGCCAGGCAGGATTAGTTTTTCTTTGTTAGTTTTTTATAGTACTCGTAGCTAGAAATCAAAGAATGTCTTTCCTTGCTATGATAAGGGACTCCGTCATTACTCTGTATGCATTTCAAGAAGTTACTTTATCATGTCCTTGTTCGCAGAGAATCCACTTCATTACTGTCATCTAGCATACTTGGCTCAATATATAACGAGTATAAATACCTATTATCCTAACTGGTTTCTATAATTGATTTGATTCATTGTATAAGATATTTTCTCCGTATTATGTTAATAGGCAAATTCTCTATGGGGATGGATGGAGGAAGGACTGGGTGCCTTTCTTGGGGTGGGTGTGTGTTTGGGTAACACTTTTTTATTGTATTTACTATGAATCTATGATATTATTCCTTTGTCTTGTAAGTGATTGGTGGTAGGTTTGTGAAACGTTCTAGAGTCGAAATTTGGATGCTGGTGAATGGTTTGTACTGCTGTTAGAGGGGATTTCTTTAGTTTACTCGGCGTAAGATTACTTGGGGGGTTGAAGAGTGAGGGTTTGGGTGAGTATATACTTTGGGTCTTTGGGGTGTGCCGGTGGTACTACTCTGGTGATATTTGGGGTTCTTGGAAGGGAAGGGAAGGGAAGGGAATCAGGTTAAATTGGATTGAATTCAATTAAGCTCGACATCTCGAATACTATTTCTTTCCAGGATTGACATGTTTTTGTTGCTGAATGTTGCTCCTCAGGGTGGGTGGTTTACTGACTCCTGTGTCGATCTGGGGTCTCTGGATAGTAGGCATGAGAAAACTGGGGTACTATTTGGATTTGGAATGTTGTTTAGGCAATTTTGGTTTTGTTTTGGTGGTCTGGGGATGGTAATTGATGGGTTTGTTGGGGTTCTTTGTTGTGGGATGCATCGTGTTGGTTGGTTGGTTTGATGCTTTTGGATGTTGGTTTGTGGTGGACTGCCAGTGGAGAGGGGTTTTAGTTGCTGGAATGAGGACTGGGGTGGTGGGTCTCATGCTGAGATGGTTGTACATACTTGTACTTTTGTTCTTGTTTGTGCGAGCGGAGTTTGGGGAGCAGTGTCCTACTGTTTTGGGAAGTGCTGTTGGGGATTGTTGGGAGGATTGTAGGATGGTATGAAACCTCTTGGTAAGATACATTCTTCTCCTTCTTTTTACTTCCAAAGTTCCAATGTATGAACGAAAGAGTACGAGTCTTAGATTCAGATTCGGATTCGTTTTTCCACTCGGGATTCTATTTTTGTAGTCAGCTGTCTGTGTATTCTGTATCAAACTTCTCATCATGATACTCGATCATTCTCATTGTCCCCAGGTACTTTCTACTTATGCTTCTCTCTACCTGTATTACTGCCTCCTGATGAATCAATCTCAACTTCGTTCTTTCTTTCTTCTACTCATACTCACTGATATTCTCAATTTTCTACCGCCGAACCCTGCCGAATAGAGGGATATCTCGAACGATAACCATGAACACCAACGATACTACCATCACACTCAACCTCTACGCCCGCAACATCACTGAATGGAAGCTATTTGTTGTTGAACAGATGATGTGTTCCCGTTTCTGGCCCAAGGATATGAAATTGCTTAGACCTTCTTTGGGAACTGAAGAGATGTGGTTACGACGTGCAATTGCGCCAGAGACCTATCCCGTTACGGGAAAAATGGTAGAGATTATCTCGAAAAATGGCGTCTTGTCCCTAGGCAATTTCAAGAAATTGGATGGACGGGGTTTGGCAGGTAGTTATGTTGGTGTAATGTGGGAGAGGTGGAGAGAATACATCTGCAGCGGGGGCTCCGTGTTAACATCTATCTACCAAAAACCAGAGGAAAGCTCAAGTACACAGAGTACCAAAGATCCATTAGGATGGTATGAAACGCTGAAAATGCTATGGAAGGGAAATGGAATTGTGCCTAGATGGGATGGAGAAACGTGTCGAAGGGAGAATGGTGAAAGGGAGTTTATGGCTACAATGAGGGATCCGCCATTTGTGCTGCAGGCCCCGAAGAAATTGGACGGGTGGGAGAAAACGCGGTTGGATGAGGGCTCTTGGAGATGGGTGGTGGGGGTAGGGACTGAGGTTGTGGGATGGGCTTGGGGGGGTGTAAGGAGTTATCTAACTGCTGGTGATGGTGATGAGGTTGGAGGGCTTTTGGAGCGGAGGGGATCTACTTGGATGGGACGAGAAAGGGGGTTTCGTGCTGGGGATTGAAGGTTGTAGTATACAGCTTGTGGAACTCTACGTCTCTAGTTTAATTCAAACCTCACTTACTTACTCAAAAAAAAAGAACTAAAACTTTCGACAAATGACTTTCCCTGAGCTTTTAGAACATTTACCCAAACCCCGTCGCTAAGATAGAATTTCTAATTTCATAGAGCAACAAGTGAAGGAAGCAGCCATGACAACCCAACCTAACATCACCAAAAGATCCAACAACAGGAGTGAATACACCCTACCCCTGTTCCACTATTGGACACCTCACCTGACCCACAAACCACACAGCACCTCTATAAACACAAGTAAGGAGAATCAGGACATCTCACACAATCAGGATTAGCCAATGTAGTTGGTTGGTGTGAGCGCGACACATCAGCGTTAAAGCATGTTTTCCCTTTAAAAATCCCTGCCCCTATCCCTGGGATTTTCTATAGGCCTGAGTACCCTTCTCCTTGAAATAATAGGATTGAAGGATGGGTGGCCTTGAGTTTTGCTATTTTCTTTTTTTGGTATTTTTTTTTGGGAGATATAAGTGGTGGGTGTCTCCAGGACAGCACTGCTGTCGCTGTTGATAACTACCGTGAGTGAATTTTGAGGTTGGGTTGGTTCTTGGAAGCCGGGGGTTGGGAAGTGTACAATTGTGGTTGTGGTCTAGGAGTATGGAATAGAGGGATCCTTTCGGATTTGGCCATTGCTTGTATTTCGTTAGTGTTTTATCGTCTTGTCTTGTGTGCTAGTGGAAGCCCAAGGATTTCAGAGAGAACTGTCACCTATAAAGCTAACATTATTTCACGAATAATTTAGTTAGTAAACTAGTGAAGTGATTCGCAGGTGGGCATTTTTGTCTATTGCCATAAAATAAAATAAACATATCTTCAGTATCATTACGTACGGAAGTTTGACTATATTTGATTCTCTAGGATAATAAATTACTTTGGGAAGTAGATGTAGAGTAATCGTTAAGTCTCTTGCATTTATTCCTGAGCTTGGATGCCCATTTTGTATCCCCTTGCAAGGTGACAGAGAAGTATCTCGGGTGTTCTATCTAGAACTGGTTATAGCAGAGTAGAAACCTCTTAGAACTTCATAATTGGAGATAAAGGATCACGTCGAGTTAGCCCAGATTCTTTTCTCTTTCCACTTGCATGTTGATGTAATCTTTCGATTTAAAGCATATCAGGATCACTTTTAATTTCACTATATCTAACATTTTCAGCAATAGGAAAGAAAAACTCTGACGATACAATAGGTCATCGTTGTAATTATAAAAACAGAGGTGATTTAAGTGCTAGTGATATGGTGAATCTCTCGACGATAGAGTCTTATCATCTTCACAAAGAATACATGTTTATGATTTCAAGCACATTTCAAACGAGAGTTTTCGAACATCGTCTTAGTTTCTTCTTTATTACACGAGTGAAAATAGAAACCAATTAGTCGAAATCACTTGCGACTTATTGTGAATGTGATAATAGCGATCTACAATCTCTCACTATCGACAGCATATTCTAAGCAATAAAAGTAGTTGTTATAAAGTCGTAAGAAATCCATAATATTAGCATACTATTCTAATTAGTCAAAATGAGACATGTTTGAGGCAATCAGTAACCCAAATCAAAGAAACCTATTCTATAACGTGCCATTAGCGGATAACACTTGTGGTACTAGTCGAGAGAGTTCTTCGCTTTTTCATTCGTGTAAATGACCATCAGAAGTTGCCACAGTTCTCCCGCCCCGAAGTCACGTTCATGTGGGATAACCTTTTCCCGCCTCTAGTTCATAAGATTGCATTTGTATTTGTGCATGACATGTTAAGAATCACAGCTAATGATTTTTGTAAGTTGCGGAAAACGTTATTAGCAAGCATATCCTGGAAAATTTGATAGGGCTCGGGATCCCCGCCCCTGGAACCTGGGGGTTCATAATATAAAGTTTTTGGATTGGTAGAGAGGGTGGACGACTCGGACAATGCACCCAAAAACCCGGACTGATATGGGTGGATATGATCTACTGGTACAGGGCCATTTTAGTTTAGTGCTGTTGCTACTCCGTGCTAGGCCTAATAGATGTCAAAGTTCGTGGGTATACAAGGGATCTTCTAGAGTGGATTACGGGGTAAACACTCCGCTAGAATTTAACATTTACTACTGGTACTTACCCCCCTCCGCCCCTAAAAAAAAGTTTATTTTGTGTAAGGCGGTAAACGTAATGGTTTGTGGGGGAGGCAGTGCAAATTCTAATTTTCACTAACAAAACTGTACGCATTTGAGTTTATCTAATAGACTAGCGGATTACAATATTGTTAACATAGTTGGCCTAATTTTGATTGGTCAAAGTAGACTTTGTTAGGCACTACAAAATGGCTCCGCACTTCACGAAATAACCTTTTGTTAGGAGGAGACTGACGTGATTTTTAGCGTTTTGTGTAAGTCAAGAATTGGCCAAACCTAGTAAAAATAACTTGAAATAAGCACCAGTATCTACGTAATCCTCCACCTCTATTGATTCCGGTCTGGAGGTGGGTTCTACGAGTTATCTAACCTTCCTAATTCGTTAAGGTTATTTGGTAGAATTCTTCCCGTCCGAAGGATCGGGCCTTATCGATACTCGCCGTGTTACGAAGTAGTACGTGGTACTGTTGTCCACTTCCCTCGTCTTGGTACCTTTCCGGAAGATCCTAACATCCGAGTCAACTGCCACTATTATTCTAATTATAGTACTTACTCGTTACTATCTGGATCAATTGGAGTAAAAACTTTGTAGTCATATCCTTTTCTCCCGAATTCAGTTAATTGCGATGCAACAATCTGACCTCTGACGTGACCATCTGATGTCTCGGAAATGTCAAATGCTCTTTTATTTTCCGTACTTGGGCTTCTTTGGTCGTATTGCGGTTACTCCGGGTAAAGAGATCTCCGTTTTATGAATACAAGGAAGACATTTGGGGATCCCCCCCCACAGATCGTGGATCTGAGTCATCTGACTTGCTCGTGTCGAGGATCGAAGCATACCCTCTCCACAATCAATGTGGATGGCCTTGGCCAATGCCCGCTTTTCACTTATGAGTTTCTTGGGCTACCACATGAACTGTCAAACTAGGCTTCTTCGAGAAGGAAAGGCTTTTGACGTAGTCGACGTAGTCGACGTAGTCATGATCCTGGTATGACTCCCGCATCAGTTCGGAGAATTTTACCTTATTTCGACAAGCTATCTCGTTGTGACGAGAAGCGTTCAGGGGAACTACAAGTAATATCCATTTTACTCGGTTTCGTTTTCATATTATTCGAAGTATGTTCTCGAAGCATCTGTAGGTGGATGTAAGTGGATAGGGCTACTAAGGTTTCCCGAAGTGTGTGTTTTGTATAGTAGATCTATACTCTCACCTAGTTATTTTCTCTTTTACTTCTTCTTTTAGTTCTTTTACGCTTCCTACACAGATAATTAATAATCGACTCCTTGGATTTGCTAAGCTAGAAATCTCGAAAGTGTCTACTATTAGACGTAGATCATCTGAACCTAGCCTTTCCTAATGATGTGAAGCTTTGGAACGCCTTGATTAAAGAGAATATAGTCTAGCGTAGTGATCTACTAGCACTGATGCTATTCACTCTCATCTAAATGGCTATCTACTTATGTACTCCAAGAGTGCAATGACAATAATACTATAACGAGACCGGGTAATTTTTGGGATATGGTAAGGCTGTATTAATGTTTAGGAGAAGGTTTTCGTTTATGTTCTCCTTCCTTCTATTATTTTTGCAAGGTGACTTGAAATTTTGTTTGGTGCTCGGGAGGAGAAAGCACTAAAAAAGAGGATGAAAGAAAATTGCAAACAAAGGTTATCTTAAAGGCTAATTTCAGACACTCTATTTTCTCGAAAATTTGAGTAATACACTGAGAACAGCTTGGAAGGGCAAAAAATGGATAAGCATATTCTTCTGTCAACTAAGTTAGAATCTCCCTTTCCATATAAAGATCACTATGAATGCCAATTCATATATCCCGATAGCTTAAGCCTAAAGATCCATTGATTAAGCCGACTCAGTGATTCCATGTCCTCCCACACTAGAGAAAACTACACCGTTTTCTTGTTGTGCCAAACATTGTTCAGAGAATAAGCGTACGACTTGGTAAAATTATCAAGAGGATTGAGTAACCAGATTCTCGGTTTTACAAATCTTCCCTGGCCATAGTCTTAGTAATTCTAAGCTAGATTGCGCGTTGTCCAATTTGTTGGTTGACTATCGATGGACTCATATTCACTCACCTATATCACCATCGTCCAAATTGATTGTATCACTTTTGATTCAAGACCCATTTTTACCCTCAGATTATCAACTTGCATTCAAAATGATAGTAATACTTCTAACCAAAAAACAAAAAGTCAATCAACAAGAAGAGACAATAACCATCTATGTTACGCGAAGGAACCCATTCACCAAAAGAAATTCCTTCCAAGCCCGCTCATAATCCGCGTCCAACATGTACATAATTAATTAACATCAGAGCGCTAATCCAGGATTCGACCATTAAAAAGAAATCGTGTCGTTCGAGATTCCCTATTGGGCAGCTTAGACAGCTTATGCGGATCCCTTTGGCTTGGCAATAGGCATGCTTGCACCAATGGCCGTAGCAGGAACGTTTGGTGGAGTGCTCTTGACTTGGACAGGGAAGGCATCAGGGTTGGAACCAGTGATGTTGGCGTTCCAGTACAAGGCGAAAACACCATCAGCCTCGGTGGCTTTACCGTAGAACTGAAGTTGGATATCAGTTGAAGTGGATTCATATGCAACGCTTTTCCCGAAGAATCTGAACCCAGAAGTAACGCCTCCAATTGGGACATTGGAGTTTGGTGCGAAGCCGACTTGCTGGAAGCTACCCTCGCTAGGGTTGATGTACAAGGCTGGAGGCTCAGGGAATGTGACAGAGGGCGAGGTAGGGACAATAGTCCATGGGACCGAGGTGTCATCCGTGGTCTTGAAGGTGATGACAGTTTGACCATCCTGGGTGGTGTTGCCGTGGCCGAAGAATGCAAGGCCTGTCATCTAGGTTAACAATGTTGTCTCTAAAGCTTTACAACTTGAAACCTACCATTTTTGTAGTAGATGGAGTTGGCCATGATATCGGAGCCGTAGGCATAGAGAGTGATGCCATCAGCGCGCTTGTGCATGACAGCAGCACTAGATAAACCAGAAATGGCCAAGACACTGGCGAGAGACTTGACGGAGAACATCTTGCTGAAAGGAAAGTCAAATGAATGAATGGAGTTGCTTAAAGAAAGAAGTTAAAAAAAACGAGAGTGAGGTCTGAAGAAAGTAGATAAGGGTGGAGAAGAAAAGAAGCTCAATTCCATACCTTTGCAATGGTTAAGTATTTTTCTTTCCCTTCGGCTGTACGTTCTTCCCATTCCGCTCTGTGTAGGTATATCCGGTATGTGGGGGCAGTGGGGCTTGCCTAGAGTTTCGCATTATGATTGAGAAATCCGATATGTCAAAAAGTATAAAAAAGAAACATGGGGAGAAGGCTTATTGGGCATGGAGAGCCTGCATCTCAATGTCTGTTCATTCATCACGAGCCACCTGACGCACCACACACGACAGCGTGGACGCAATGACTCGCCAGGTATTTCCCTATGGAGTTTGTTGCCCTTGATGATTCGTTGGTCTGGCAATTAATGAACGGCATTTCATCGGAACTTGGTATGTGAAGTGGATGTGGCCCGAAGATCCTATCGAAAAGGTGCTAGTGACTCTTGTTCTGACGAACACAATTCATAGACAGCTGCACGGTGTTGATTATTCATTTGAATTCCCGGTTGAAGATAAGGATGCTAGAAAGCTCAAAATAGAACGAATAACTCCAAGTATTAATTTATCGGTTCTGATACTTTGTCATACTGCAAAAATCTCTACGCACTGATGAGAAACTTCGGGTTTGTAGCAACTGCCCAACTCATTTGATCCAGCGAATTGAAATGTTTACTTTGTAGCATGTTAACTACTGTTGTTCTTACACAGGTTAGGGAATACTTCCTACACTTTCTTTTTGTACGAAGTAGTACTTTGTATGTAAACATAGTGGAGCTTGTGCGTCTATCAGCTTTATTTTTGGCGCGATGATCACACCCTTGGCGAAAGCTTAAACATCAGCGGATGCAACCCCAGATGAATACGTACGAAGTAAGTATCTATGGACCACTTAAATTTACCTGCAGGTGCTCTTTAGGAAGCTGAGAATCAAGTGCAATCAACCAGGTTCGAGACCTCCACCTGTATCAAGAATGTTGCCGTTCCGCATGCTCCGGTAGCATTTGCAGCTACGAAGGTGGCTTCTTTCTCGGGTATTAGGAGTTTTTGTCGATACCCAGGGATAATTTCGTTACGGACATGCACGACGTGAAGACATCACCGCCAAAATTTGAAGTTAAGGTCCAAAGTGTTAGTGGCATAATACTAAAATCCGAGAGGTCACATAGAGGTGAGTAGGCTGCTCGCGTCCCCCCTCCCCCTGCATACGATTTGTTATAGGAAGGGAACCCCACAAGATAGCCTTCTAAGCCAATTGAATAGTCTGATTCATGTGGACGTTTGATGAAGTGGAATGGTACTTCTATACGGCATCGAGGTGACCAGGCTCCCCAGCCACTTTACGATGGGTTCCTAGGTACCTAGGATGCCTTGTAACACTGTCTATACTTGTACTTTTATATTATCAAAACTTGACAAAGGGGGGAAGTGCTGAGCTGTCCAGACCTTTTACCTAAAGAGGGCGGACAGTTCAAGCTGCTGTCTGTCACGCAGATCATGATTCGTCCCAGGCAAGCTTTAGTGGATAACAGGGTAAAAAGCCCCCGTAAAAGATACAATTACTATGCCTGGGACGAAGATGTGCATGAGCAAAAACTCATACTTCGTAGAGCCTAGGTTTGGTTGTCTGATTCGCTTGTTTGGCTAAATATTTGGGCTATGACATAGTATTACGAAGTAACTTGCAGGGTGCGACTCTGAGTTGCCTATCCTCTTCAAATTTACGTTTAATCGTCATTTCTCCCCCGATCTTTTCTGCTTGGAAGTATCTTTGAGCCTGTCATTCCCCTAAGCCTTGCCATGAGAACTGGGCAGTGGGGAAAAACTGTATTCGTCCCAGTGTAAAGTTCACAGGGTGTTTATCCTGTTCTCCACTGAAAATACCCTGTGAACTTTACATTTGTTCGGCCTGGGACGGAGTATCATTCATTCAAGGATCATAAAGTTTATTTTTGAGGTTCCAGAATCCATTTCCAAGACGACCTTTGTCTAGCATGGACTGATTTTCTAAGGCCCACAATTCAGCCGACACAATCAGCAGGAGGTAGAATCAGCCATGGGGCCACCTTATGTGAGTGTAAATTTACGTCTGTGGGTAGTGATGTATATAACTCCGGGTGCTCACCACCGAAACATCTTTCTCCATCATCCAACGATCTCTTCTTTTTTTCGTTCCTTTCCTTGGGCATCTCTTGCATTCCTTTCTCTCTTTTATTTCGTTATTACATTCGTTACCTCGATTATAGATCATTATGTTTTTCAACTCCTTACTTGCTGCCTCGGCGGCTTTGGTACTCTCAGGAGTCAACGCAGCCCCGTCTGTGCAATCCCAAGCTCGACAAGCACCTGCTGCTTGTGAGCATGGTCCAAACAACCGACAGTGCTGGGGTGAATACAGCACCTCAACCGACTACTACAACGTAGTCCCAGACACCGGAAAGACGGTTGAGGTAAGTTTCATTTTTGTCCTTGGTTCTGGTAGTTACTAACATAAGACAGTACTGGTTTGAACTAATCAACGGCACTGCTGCTTTGGACGGTGTGACTAAACAAGTTTTGACCGTTAATGGCACTTTCCCAGGCCCAACAATCACAGCCGATTGGGGAGACAATGTTGTTGTGCACTTGAAAAACTCCCTTGCCAACAACGGCACTGGACTCCATTTCCATGGATTACGTCAAAACTACACTAATGAGATGGATGGTGTCCCATCTATCACTCAGTGTGCTCAAGCTCCAGGTGATACCATGACCTACCGCTGGAGGGCTACTCAATATGGATCTACCTGGTACCACTCCCACTTCGCTCTTCAGGCTTGGGAGGGTGTTTTGGGAGCCATCGTCATCAACGGTCCTGCCACCGCAAACTACGATCACGACATGGGCCATATGTTCTTGAACGACTGGGACCACGAAACCCCTGATGTTCTGTACCACTCCGCCCAGACCCAAGGCCCTCCAGCTCTCGCTAACGGTTTGATCAACGGCATGAATGTCTACGAAAACGGCGGAAAACGATTCGAGGTCTCTGTCTTCAAGGATCAGTCATACAGAATTCGTCTTGTCAATGGAGCAATTGACACCCACTTCAAGTTCATGATCGACAACCACAACTTCACTGTTATCTCAATGGATTTAGTCCCAATTGTTCCTTACGAGACCAACATGATCAGCATCGGAATGGGACAAAGATACGACATCATCGTAAAAATGGACCAGGCTCCTGATAACTACTGGATTCGCGCTATTCCCCAGACATTCTGCAGTGACAACGAGAACACCGACAACATCAAGGCCATTTTGAGATACGACCCCACCTCCACCGCTGACCCAACCACCACTGAATACACCTACGTTGACAGCTGCGATGATGAAGCCATGTCTAACCTTGTTCCTTTCTTTGCCCAAAACGCCGGTGACCAAGATACCACTGAAGACTTTGGTGTGACTGTTGGAACCTCAAACAACCTCTTCAAATGGTTCATGCAAGGCACTACATTCGAAGTTGAATGGGAGGTACGTGACGTCTTCTTGCTTCCGAGTCAACAGAATTATATGCTAATACATCACAGAACCCAACCCTTCTTCAACTCGCTGGTGGAGTACACGCTAACTACACAAAGAACAACCACGTTATCACTCTGGATGGCAAGGATGAATGGGTATACTTCATTGTTGAGACCACAATGACTGTTCCTCACCCACTCCATTTGCACGGTCACGACTTCTTCATCCTTGCCCAAGGTACTGGCACGTACGATCCTGCTACCACCACCCTTCAAAAGGTCAACCCTCCTCGTCGTGATGTTGCTATGCTCCCAGCCGCTGGCTTCGTGGTAATGGCCTTCATCACCGACAACCCAGGAGCTTGGTTGATGCACTGCCACATTGGATGGCACGCAAGTGAGGGATTTGCTCTCCAAATGGTTGAGAGAGTTTCCGAAATCCCAGCCATCACCAACTGGACCTCCATGAACGACGTCTGTAGCAAGTGGGACGCCTATGTTGCCGTTTCTGGTGTTGAGAGAGAGGACTCTGGTGTAAGTTTTATTGCCGTTGAAGAACCAAACAGTAGCTGACTAAGACTAGATCTAAACTTGTCGTGCGGGATCGAATGAGATACGCTTTTCTTTTCGTTTGGTGGTTTTCTTACAGCGTTTATAGATTTTTTGATTTATCTATACGCTTTGTGATACATGGGGATGATTGATGCAAGAGAAGAGCACGACTGGGTCTGGAATAATGGATTGAAGTAATAATGTTGGAGTTCTTACAACACACACTCTTTAAATTAGATACTATATACAGTCAAATATGGCGGCAGAATTATTGTTTAGTAGTTAAGTGGAGATAAATAGCAGTCACTGTTACTCCTCTAGATGACTTTGGTCACCATTCTTACAGTGGTAGTGCTCTATAACCCATCACATGAAATTTCATTCAATCTTCTCTGATTTGAGGTTGGTTAGACGCTGTTGGGTGGTCAGTACACTTCGCTTAATGGAGGAGGGATTTCACGTGACATCTTTGCAACGTCTACACCTCAGTATCCCATGATTGCAGCTCAGTATCTTATTAGTCATCTATGGAAAGCTACGATACAAGAAAACCTTTGCCCCTTTTTGTCATCCTCTATTGTCTTTTAATTACGTTAACCTTGAATCCTCCTCTAATAAAAACTCCACGTACGACCGGTGCGTTCTCCAGCTCAAGATTTCCGCCCTACTTTTGCGATGCATATGCCGTATCAAACTTCAAGGGTCCTGAAATTTGAGGGTTCAGATTGGAAAAGAGTTTCCTTTTTCTTCTTGAACCCAATCAGCCCTCCACGTGCCCTTTCGATTGCAAAGAAAAGGCTACTGATTATACAAGATATTTCTCCTTGTCATAAATAGCTCAGAAAATACGAATACGACACCCCTCTAGAGATTTTAGAACAATCGGGATAACTAGCAGAAATTTCATTCACATATGAACTGATTAATCCAGAAAGGTAGTAGAATCAGAAAACCTGGATGCCTTCGATATTGTCCACTGAGCCCCGCAAAGAATGTTATTAACATGAATCTAATATAAACTACTGGAGAGCCATTGCTTCATGAGAGTTCTGGGAAAAGAATACCATTCGCAATAAACACTCATTCAAACTACTTGTCCTGCGACTGGTATCTGGACACATCGAACCTAGATGTCACGTTCGTTTTAGGGACAAGTTAGTAACTCCGTGGAGGGGGGTAAGTTGGGCTCCAATGATCTTAATCATAGCACTGAGCGCACTGAAAATGTTCTTGAATTGATCGATAGACTGTTGGATAAGAGTATAGCATGGATACAGCGGGATCTGAGACCTGCGTGGGTTTCTAGGTAAATTAATCCGCGCCTTCTATTACCATTTTTTGGGGAGTTCAGTCCTTATTCCAACCGCTCAAGTATGGTAACGCTAACTTGCTTGGTCTCATAGGAAAATTAACGATTGAGCTTCTCGACGCCAATCCCCAAGACGAAGTGAAATTCGGCAATATGTATAATAACAAACGAAGATCTAGTCGTATTTCTTTTTTTCGGAAGCTTGAAGTCACCAGTTTCTCTCACCTCCTCACAGCTCTGAACTCAACCGCTCCCCTCAAGTCAGGAGTATAGCCCATGCCAGCACGCTGTGGCTTCATGACCTCCTTGCTACCTCCAGGCATCTGGATATCACACTTCAAAATCATACGAGCCAGGATCAACTTGATTTCGTTATTGGCAAAGTAGCGGCCGGGATATACATGCTGACAGTAACTCCAGACCAAGTTCTCTTTGGTGGCGTTGCTGAAAGCTATTGTTCCTTGTTGGAGTAGTTCTGAGGATCCGGAACTTCTCCATGGCGGAGCTTCAGAAAGCGATGTGCGTCAAATTCATTTGGGTTAGTGAACTCTGCGGGATCGGATAGTGGTGGTGCGAAAATGGACTCGATGGTAATACCGGCCGGGATAAAAGTGCCATCCTTTAGGGTGATGTCCTTTTCGACATATCGATGGAAGGGGTGGTTGGACCCACTCTTTGAGATTCCTTCATGACGCTGTCTAGACGCTTCAATTCATGACGTGCAACTAGGGAGAGCTCGCCGTCGGTCGAACGTGGCAACCACGCCGCGGATTTCTTCGTGCAACTCTTCAACCAACTCAGGCCGAATGGCGAGTTGATACACAGTCAGGGCAACGGTGACGGACGTATTGTGAGTTACAGTCACACCAAGCTGTACCATCGAGCCAGCCAAATCATCGTCGGTTTGTGGGGCATTCTACCTATACTAATTTGCCATCATTCAAGCAAGCATATGGTCGTACTTAGCCTTGCCAGACTTCTCTTCTTCTCATCTCTGGAGGGTCACCGGCCGCATGAGTGCCTTTGATGCCTCAAGATGGTCCCAGGATTTCTTCAGTCTGGTTCTCTCAGCCTTGAAGAAGCGCGTGATTAGACGCATCCACCCTGGCCATCGTTGAAGAGTATGGAGTGCTGCCATTACGCTCTCCGTAAAGTGTACGCTGTCATGTATAAACTGTTCGTTGCGGCACATTTCTGGACCTACAAAGGCTGATCCAGATACAATAGCAACAATACGCAGGGCGGTCCGATAAAGTGGGTACGGTGTCCATTCTTCGCAGGGGCCCAACGTTTCGTCGACAGTTTGCTCAGCTTCTGATACTAGGTGTTGATTGATACGAGCTTTCGAGCTCTTATAAGCAAAACTGAATTTGGCACGGAACACCAGCAAAGACTTAGTGAGATTCTTTGTGGGATCTGACCGGATGCAATGCGTTAAGAAGGGATTACCGAAAGTTAGACCCGTATACTGCAGGAGAACTCTCTGTTTCAGCCGTCATTCGCTAATGAAATTCACAGCACACATTAGTCACAGCAACGTACCTGATTGTAGGCTTTATTCTTATTAAGGATGGTTTCTGAAATATTCCAAAGCTCCTCAAGCGCCGATCGAGGTACAACAACCCGTTCCCCTAGAAAGTGAGTTATTCCACGTTAGTTTCAACCATTGATATTTCATTTCTCCCTACCTTCATAGTGCGTGACCCTGAAGGCTTCGTTTTTATGTGTATAATGGCCGTCCCAGTAGAAACTCATGGGATCCCCCAAGAATGCGATGCGCCGTTTGTAATAGCCACCGAGTTCTTTGCCCATGAGCGGAATCTTGTTGAGTCTTTTTCGTGTAATGATAATAAGGGTCATGAACTTGAGCGAAAGAATTGCTACGAACGCCAGTATCACAGTCAGTAGTGTCTGGCGGTTTTCCATCATGGTAGAGGAAAACATATCGAGAAGAGGCATCGTAAATTTCTGTTGCGAGATATCAAAAACCGCAAGTAAGTCTAACAGGTGATCCAATGAAAGGAGGACACGCATCCATTAATCTTTTTGTTCCCCCAAGCCTACTAGTACAGACTTTCAAGTGGTGATAAGAGCCTGACTCGTATTCTACTTGGTACATCCCCCTCAATTGTAAGGAGGTAAGATTTTCCACTACGTTCAAAACTGGTATTTCAGCTAATAAGAAGACACATTCGTTCTACATTGTCTTGTTTCTAAACAAGTCTTGTTCTACATCATAAGACACCTAAAATAAACCACAATTCCACCACAATAATAATACTATAACGACACATTAAAGTTATTTTAATAGACTAAAAGCTACAGCTTCATTAGTTGAAACAAAATACACTTACCGATTTCGATGCAAAAAACCTATATAAAATGTAGAGCTTACATTTATAAAGTCTTGGCGTTCTACTAAGTTTTATAAGTCTCTTAACCCTACCCCTGTGGCAACACTTAACTAAGGCATGTATAAGAACTCCAGTAATTGTAGTCTTATTATTTTGGCTTAATTACTCTGTATACCTCTTTAACACTATCACTTAACTACTAAACTAAACGGCTTTTTACTATCTAAGGTAATTCCCTTAATGTCGCGTATGGGTATGGTTTTGGATTTCTGGGTTTGCGATTCCTTATTTGAGCAATTATTTCCGAAAACAGGCTCTTCTGAGCCTATCTATATCAAAAAATGACAAAATATAGGGGTTTCAGCTAATTCTGAATCATTGGATGGTTATACTGGCCAGAACAATACCTACCAAGGTCCGCTACGGAGGCCTAGTCCGACTCGCTTGGCACCATTTAAGTAGTACAACATCAAAGCAAGCGTGGATGCGTCGAACCTAAAAAACCTAAAGCGTACATATGCGATGAGGGGATACCAGGAGCGTCGATTTTGGTATGATTTATTTCTATCTGATACAATTTCTATACGAGGCTAATACGAGGGTTGTCCAAAGACCGGGCACTATCTTGAGGTTGTCACGTCAGGCGTAGGTATCTCGGACCTCCAATACTTGCCCATTGAACACCTACGGTAATGTGGTTGGTATTTTTGACCACAAGAGTGGTCTCACTGAAACGAGACTGTTGTACAATGATTCGGGGTTTCAACGCTTGATGTTATCTCTTCTCGTTGAAACTCGATAGGGAGTTACAAAAGTATCGAACACAAGAGCTGATTTCTGATAGAAACAATGCTGCAAAGGCCATAGACAAGCCTCGACTTAAGTCTAAACCTTTATGAAATCTACTTGTAATGTCATTCTAGTTTGAGCGTAAGAGGTGTGGTCATTACTCTATATGTATCTAGATTAAAACAAAATTACTCTAAAAGTCCCATAAAACTAAACTAGTTATACAAGCCATTTAGGATAATTCAGATTAATATATCTTTGTTGACTTAAGTGATTTGGGACAATCAAGTAAATCGTTCTAGCAATTCTACCCAGTATAATAGGTTCATAGGCTGTATACAGAGCAATAACCATGTATCTTACTCTGATTTTAAAGTGCCGTGAAAACTGCTTGATAAGGAGTAGCAAGGGCCGCAGGAGGATTTCAGTATTACGCTCGACATCTTTGGTTTCGACGATGCTCGATGCCAAAAACCTACCACGAAGGGTAAAGTGCGATTTACCACTTAGATACCTGATAGTAGGGAACAATATAACTCCACTGTCTTTCCCCCTGCGAAACCTACTTCGTTCCCTTGTAACACTCTTGTCTTATCTAGTCTTAACCTAGTCTTGGATGATTAGCGATATATATTCAAAACAAATATATACTAGATATGATTAAAACTGTAGATTCAATACTGATTTTCCCCTTAATTATAGGACGTCCAACTCAAGGGTATAAAAAGGTAGGAGTAAGAGAGGGAAAATAAAGTATAGCTTTGAAAGTAGTCGGGAGAATTAAGTCGCTTTTAGACTACGAAGCTAGATAACTATCTACTTATAGATAGGTGATTATAAAGTATTATATCAGCCGGGGCAGGAATGATAACTGTGATATCGTATTATACCCTGTCTCCCGGTAAATAAGAAAGGTAGTAAAGAGACATGTTTTTTAACTATTAGCGTAAGTTGATTCTAAGTATAAAAATATTACATTATCTAGCATAATTACATTTTGGGTTCTTTTTTCTTATTAGATTAATCGTATTGACTAGTCTAAATAAACACAATAATAGAATAGTTTTTAGTTAAATCAGGCCAAGATAAAAGAAATCTCTGCTACTTTTCTTGTCCACTAGGAGCCTGTCATCAGGGTACTTACTCAAACCGTGAAATCGTGAAAGGTGCCGGAGAATTATAATCCAATCTCACTCTATGAAATCCCCATTTCCAACAGCGCGGGGAATATTCTACGCAGGCGCAGCACTCAGAACAAGATTTATTTTCCCACTGAGATGGCGTTAACACCGTGGGAAAGTTCCCCGACCATTTTTACCTGTATCAGTAAGTACTTCCCAGAAGAAAAATTGCCTATCGGGCACCTGTAATGTCACATTACTTCTCAACGCGGGCCAAAATGGACTTCTCAACCTCTCGTTGTCGAGAATGGAAACACGTTTCTTGCGCGTTGTGGCTGTGGTCGGGTAATATTTTCAGCTCTCGTGCACATTTTCGGATTTAGATAAGAGGGTAGGGCAGATTTAGATCATATGAAAGGATATGCGTTTGCCAAATTGTTCATCTAAGTAGATGAGTTCTCGTAGCTGGAAATGATCATCGTTGCATTTTCAAGACGCCATGATGCGCTTATCCAGAACGCTATGTTCTTACGCTATTTTGTTTCTTCTGCTTGAGGTACTTATTCTTGCGCTACTTTTGTACCGAACCAACGGGAGCTTTGTTGGTAGGGAACAATGTTTGACCACCGTCAGAGACGCGATCAAGAATGATAATTTAACATCGATAAATCCGAGCTACTTCAGTCCGAGATTCGATCCCGCTTCAGAACCGTTAAACCCAAGGCTTACCATTGAAGGCTGTCAAGCTGTATGTGGCAATGGATATGGCTTTTATTCTGATGTTTCTCCAAGACTTCTTGGTTGGCTGATACCTATATTCCTTATCATCACTTCCATGCCCCTCCCACCTGTTGGAACGAGACGGTACTTTGCGATTATCCATTTGTTCGGTAACCCCATCGATTCAACCTGGTCGCTTCTGTGCGAATTGGAGCTTTGGAATAACTATGCTGTTATTGCTGAGTCTCTCTACAGCGAACGCAGTTTGGAGGAGCAAAAGAAAAAGGCGAAATACATCACGCCTATTCTCGTTGCAATGGACGACTTGAAACTGATGTCTCGCACCACTTTCAAACCTGGAAATTATCCACAGATCTGTCCGTGTCACTCGTCGGAGCTTGATTCGCTGTTCTTCAGGACGGCTGGAAAGCTCAGCAATTACAGAACTCATGACACTCGACGAACCTGCTTTGCCATTGCAGTATACGTGGTTGGGGTGGTTGCAAATTTTGTGAAGACCATGGGAGGCTCTCCAAGTCGATCCGGTGGTAAAATAGCACCGGCGATGTTACTTTCTTGGTTACTCCTCACCACGCTTATTAGCAATTTAATCGGTCAATTCAACTCACCTGAGAATGTCATTCGAATTATTGAGGATTTCAGGAACGAACTTCGCCAGATAATGGGGATGCGAGTGCACGAGAGCCAGTATACATTGCGAGGAAAGGTCGAGGGACCCGAGCCTGTCTTTGAATTACGAGTAACGACAACGGAGCTCGACAGAAAACAATGTTCTCACATGGAAGTGGAAAACCAGCGGATTCTGTGGGAGAACTTAGTCGTTGGTAAAATCAACTGGGCAAAAGACCCAAATTGGATTGAATACCTGGACGCACCGGCTCACGGTATACCCATTTACCAACCGAACAAACAACTTGGAAATAACATTCGTCTTTTCACCATTGCAACAATACCTGTATTACTTTCTTTCATATCTGCTTTTACTGTTCTATGGTCGCCTCCCACTTACCTCACATGCCGACACTTCATCGTCGTCGCGGCATTTTTAGCATGGCTTATCAGCCCATTTCTCACCAGGGCATTTTTCCTCTCTAGGCGCCTAAGGAGAAATGATGAACTGGGCTGGCATTTTGTTTTTCTCAAGGACTTTTCGATCGCAGGACCAATCATTGCCCTTCTTATAGCATCTACGAGTGGCCTGTTCAGCAGTTGTTGGTGTTTAAGCGGTGTGTTCATTCTCCGCAGTAAGGCGGAAATCCAACTCAATCCTGCAGGCGATTTCAACAAGGCCAATGGGAAAATATATCCGGGGATCGTAGCCGCGAACTTTCTGCTGCAACTGGTGGTCCTTGGGTGGATAGTAATGGGAGTTGGCCGGAAGCAGATCTTATCGACGCGAGTGAGTGAGAGTGAGACGCGTGAGGCGCTGATTGCTGAGATTTCTGTTCGAAAGATGGGCCGTTAGCTGATAGGTAAGGGGTGGGTGATAAGAGTTGTGCAACATAGAGAGATGAAATATTGTTTAATGAATATACCTCCGTATATAAAGAGAAGTTGCATAAAATGGTGAAGTGATAGTATACGATGCTTTCTTCAGATTCCGCGAGCGTCCCCACTCATACTTGCCCTAACACTAAAGCGGATGAAGCCTCACCTGAGGCACGGCGTGAACAAACTCCGGGTTGCGTAATTTCCCCTTCCCATCTCCATATCCATCCTAGAGACCACTCATTGACCAATGGAGGAGGGTTTGATTGCGTATGTAGGGACCATTTCCCCTCAATGTTTTCGTCACCTCTCCCAGTGTTTGAGGATTCTGATTCGCCTCACAGGAACGCCCGGTCGGTTTTAGGGCAGGCGTAAGGGGTTGGCCAATAGGAGGCCACGGAAGCTTTGTTTATTCTTGGATCGCTTAGCGACCCCTGCTTGGATCTGGATTTGAATCGGATTGCCATGGCAATTATCGAGCCTTTGCACCGCATCTCATGTCGTGCATTTCATCATGGCTACTCGTACTGCGGAAAACTGCTAGAATATGATGGTGAGATTCCCGCGCGTGTGATGAAACCATTGGGAATTCCCATCTCCCATCCCATGCCCAATTCGAAGCTGCATGCAGATGCTGGGATAGTTTAGGGTCCTACCGAGAGGTACAGTAAAGTTGCTAAGGTAAGGGTTGTGAGGGCGAGGTTTGCGACCTGGACCTGGTCCTGGTGGGAGGCTGGGCGAATGCGAGGCCAAACCACCAAATCAAGGTGGCTGAGGAGAACTACGGTAGCAACACCCAACCCACTACCACCTCCCTCTACCTCCGCCTCCACCTCACCAGGTCGAGTTCCATTCGAGTTCCACATCTTCTGCTTCCTCTCATCCACTTTGCATACTTTCCACTGCTGCACCGGAACTCTCAACCTTCAATTCCCCGTTTCTGCGTGCAATGACGAGCTGAGACTTCCTTCCTTCTCGGCGCACAATGCTCATCTAGAGCTTGACTTTCTTTTTCCATTCTCATCTCCCCAAAGTAAACAAAGTATTGTCTTCGCACCACGCCACTCCCGGGTCCGCATTCCACAAACAAACCAAGAGCTTGCCCATCATGTCGGCCAGGATGAAGGTGAATGCCCTCAACACGATGCACACGGCTGGCATCTTCTCCGACATGACTGTTGACGGCCCTGAAATCGGAACGCTGGTGGTGATAGTTGACCGCGCGAAGAACCTCCCCAATCGAAAGACCATTGGCAAACAAGATCCCTACTGCGCGGCGCGGCTCGGAAAGGAAGCAAAGAAGACGGAAACGGATCGTCGGGGAGGCCAAACACCACGATGGTACGACTGAACGTCGAGCAATGCGAACCAATCTTTGCTAACTCTGAAATCTAGGGACCAAGAACTACGATTTACCGTCCACGACTCTGCCGACTACTACCAGCTGAAAGTTTCCGTGTTCAACGATGACAAGAGAACAGATCTAATTGGCGAGAACTTCGTCGACTTGCGGAGCATAATTGTGCCTGGTGGTGGACAGAGCGATGTGTGGCATAATCTGAACTGCAAGGGCAAATACGCGGGCGAAATCAGGATTGAAATCACCTACTACGATACAAGACCGAAACAGGAAAAACCAGAAAAGGCAAAACAGTTGGCGCCCAGTACCATTGAGGATGGAGGCAGAGATTCTCTCAAGGGCCCAAGACAACCCAAGCCTGCTGTTAAAAGAAGACCATTGCCCTCAGATCCGGTTACAGGTGCACCACCTCCAGCCAGTGCTATTCCAGATCATGTCCAGACACCTCCTCGAGGATACAAGTCCCCAACAGCGGCTCCCGAGCATAGCCAAACACCACCACGTAGCTATGAACTAGCGGCAAACAGCAACGAGTTCGCCCAAAATCCTCCTCGAAACCACCAACAACCGCCAAATGCAGTTCCTGAGCACGTTCCAACGCCCAATCGAGGGGCCCCAACTGCTATTCCACAACACGTACAGACCCCGCCACGAGGGTACCAAAGTACCGGTTATGTTCCAAACCAATCGCCACTACAAAGTTTCGAGTACAACAATACACCACCAACCCAGCATTCACAGGGAGGTTACGACAATAGTCAAAATCACAACGTGTACTCCAGCACCCCTCCAAGTTCGAAACCAATTTCACAGGATAGATACGAGACTTACGACCCATACGTTACGAATGACTACACACAAAGCAATGGTGGTAGCAGAGGACGATACGATGACGAGGATGAAATGAATGACCCGAGGGACGCATACAATAGGCACACACCATATGAGCTTCCTCAACCTGAAGATTTTGGCTCTCCGCCAAGTCCAGGCGGTCCTCCTCCACCACCACCAGCGCACGGGGGAAGGCAGAATAGCCACCAAGCCAGTCCTACGCCGCCAACGAGACAGAATAGTTACTACCCCCCTGAATCGAGGTCACCAAATGTTTATGATTCCCCAACTAAGCCCCGTGGACATTCAATAACCAATTACTCGGCACCAAAGTCATACATGGCCTATGCAGCTCCAAAATCCGATGACCCGTTCCGCAAGTCTGGAGGAAGCTACCAGGAATCTCCACCCCGCCAACACCCCTATGATTCAAGATACAATTCAAACTACGAGTCAATGCAGCCAACTGTTGAAGACGCCCCGCCTTCTCCATCTGGGCGATATAGAGGCGAGTCGCACTCTTCGAGAACCGAAGATCGGAGATATGGTGAGGTTCCCTCAACCGCTCCACTCAACCTGAGCGGACGTGGGGGTTCTCCGTCGGGTTATGATAATGCTCCGAGCGCTACCACTCGCCAACACTCGAACAGTATGGGGTACGCGTCTAACAATTCTCAAATCTCCTTGAGAGAACGATCACAGACTGGAACTGTTTCTTCGAGAAATTCGTACAATACGTTGTCTCAGCCGCAGCAGCAAAACCAACGAAGGCGATCGAATAGTCACCTGTCCGAAGTTGATGGTGACTATGGTCTACCACCAGTGCCGGCAACTCTGGTAGCTGGCATGGATCCAATGATTGCGCAAGAGATCTCTGAAAGGATCTACGACGAGAGAAGATCGAGTTTCAGCAACCAAGCTTTAGTTCGGACCCATGATCGATATCAAGATTCTTCTTCATACCACCAGGAATTACCACAGCAACATTCATACTCAAGTGATGCAATGGTTCCCTTTGTTCCCGCTTCTTCTTCGTCACATGACGAACGACAAAGTCGATACTCAAATGCTCTTGTACCAGTTAATAAGGCAAGGCAAGTCTCACCGGATACCAGAAGGCCCATGCGGAAATCGGTCAGCCCCTCTCCAGGGGCTTCTCCGGGACGGGATGATGGAAGAAGATTATCCGGAGTACCGTTTGGTCCGGATTCCTACAATGCTTTGAATCCCAAGATTTCTGGGTCTACATCGACACAATCTTTGAGCGCAAGATATGACACTGACAAGCCGGACCCAGATGAGAAAATCATAACTCATGATGGCAGGGAAATAGATCCAAGCGACCACATTCCTGAATCCAATTATGCGCCGCTTCTTGAATCTAAAGGACCTAAATATGCTTCTCAACAACCTGATCGCAACTATCGGGGTCCAACAAGCAATTCGCAGCCTAGCTCTGGCCGTAAACAGCTTAGAGTGGCACCTCGTCCACAGTCAATGGCAATTACCAATTCATCTCCAATGTACATGAATACGGGCCCAAATGACCCTATGGCGTCGTCTGCTGGGCGAAACCGCCTTCAAAAGAAGGCAAATAGAATTTCGGCCATGCCAACACCACATTCAAACCCACTGACCCCCATCACATCATATCAAAGCAATAGTTACAGTTCAAGAAGTGTTCCCCGCCCGAACACAGCAGACTACTATCCTAACGAGAGTTATGCGCCCTCATATGGAGCTGGATATCGTGGAAGCGCTGGGCCTCCTATTCCGGCCAAGGTCCCTATAGGTAGCATGAATTCTGCTCCGGCTCAACAAAATCACAGCGGCAGTGGGGATGCTTGGGCGTTGCTGGAGGAGATGAAGAACATTGATCTAGGAAGTGGGAGGGCGAGAAGACGCGGTTACTAAATGACAAGCAAGATGGGTCTTTCGGCGAAAACGAAGTCTCGGGTTTGACCGGACACAATGCTGCCACGGGCTGTGTATTACTTCTTTCTTTGGGTATACTTTACCTTGATTTCCTTTTTTCTTTTTTCTCATCTTTTAAGTTGTATTAGACGGATTTTCTCTCAGGCTTCTTCCCTATGAATGGACTGACTAGGGGCAATGGCCGGCTGGGCTGGATAATTGTCAGATGCGAATTAGGGTGCTCTGGGGGGGGGG